AATGGTGCTATCACAATAGGCTATTGATTTAGATGGAAATAAAACTAGACAGATCCCTGTCTCATACCATATACAAAAAATAATTATAAGATGAATTGAAGCCGTAAATGTAAAAAGCAGAACAGTAAAAACCTTGCAAGAAAATCTGAGAGAATACATGTACAGCTTTGAGGTGTGGGAGGCATTTTAACCAACTCCAGCTACTCTGAAGATATGAAAGAAAAGATATATTTGACTATAAAAATTAAAAACATTTTGGCAAAATTTATAAACAAAGTCAATAGACAATAGATCTTGGGGAAAATTGCAATACACACAACAAAGTCTTAATACTTGTAATAAACTTTTTTAAAAATGAAAGAGCCCAAAGAAGAATGGGCAAAGCATATGAATAGTCAAATCCCCCAAAATAAATCCAGTAGCCAACAGGCATTTAAAAAGATGCTCGACCTCATTAGAAATAAAAAGAACACAATTAAAGTAATGATACAATAACACTCTATACCTATAAAATTGGCAAATTTAAAAATAAAGATAAAACTTATCACTGATGTGAATGCAGAGAGAAGGGCACGACCATACGTTGATTGTAGAAATGTTTGAAAAGTTCTGTCCTTTTTGGAAATTAAAATGAAAAAGGATATATTCCCTTTGTCCCAGTAATAGTGCTCCTGAGAATCTGTTCTACGAGAAATAAAAGCACCAGTATGTAATGACATACAATACAGTGGCCAAAAAACTGGAATAAGATGAATGCATTGACTAAAAACATGGTGCAGCTATAGCACGGAATCTTATACAGCCAATAAAAAGAATGAATTAAAGCCAATTGACTTGGAGAGAGTTTTACTAGGTGCTAATGAGTGAGAAATGTGTCTATACTATTCCAATTTTTTAAAAATAAATAATGACCAAGAAAACCTTTATTTGCATGAATATATATTATCATACTGGGGTTATGTGGAAGGAGGGTGGGGAGCCAAACAGAAAGAACAAAAAAGGCTATAGAGTCACATTTAATATTTACATGTGTTTGAGTATTTATAATACACGTTTAAAGAAGACAAAACAAAATTTAACATAAATGATTTCAGCATTCAACTCAATAAGCAAAAACTGAACAAAAAAATGAACCAAAGGAAATTAGAAAGAAGGCATGAATTAATGAAAGTAAAAGCAGAAACTGATGCAAAAGAAAGAGAAAAAAAAGGATTGATACATTGAACCAAAAGATGGTTCTTGACAAGACCAATAAAATCAAGAAACCTCTTGGAAATATTATTTTTAAAAGAGAGTAAAAAATAAGAGAGAGAAAAAGAGAACATATGCAACATAAGGAATGAAAAAGGAGATATAACTACAGACACAGAAAAGTTTAACAAGCGGCTATTATGTAAGTTGATACCAGTACACTATCAAATGCAGCGATATAGATTGCTTTGTATGAAAATATATATAACCAAAATTGACTGAAGAACAGGCAGAAAAATGTCAATAAACTGATGAACACAGATAATATTGAAAAGGTTATTTAATAATGTACTCTCCCCAAATGTACCAGAACTCCCAAAAGATGAAAATCTTCTGAACTCATGGCTAATTTTACCCTTATACCAAAAGTAGGCAAAGCTATCAAAAACGCACCACATGTATACACAAGAGAACTAGAAACTAAACTTGTTTTTAATATTGACTGGATCTCATTGTCCTGATTCTCTCTATAGAAGCTTGGGTAGGCGGAGGGAAGTTTTGTTTTCTCTCTTATGCCCCTTGCCCCTTCATCCTCCCTGTACCTTACTCTCTAGATTCCAGAGTGACAGCATGTGACAAAGAGAAGCAGTGGACAAAACAGAACAAAAAATCGACTAATAGGTCAGATCTACGAGAAGACTTGGCAATTAGCATTTGTGCCAATAGCTCAGATGCATGTATGCCTTACCTGGAAATGTTTCTTCTGGGTTCAACTAGCATCGCAGCCATCTAACCTGATGTCTGTACCTTCTGCCAACCAGTCACATCCCCACAATCTTGGCCCATGATCAGACCCTATAGAACATGCCTTTACCTTGTGTCCATGTGTAGCTCACCGAGCAGGTCATGATTCATATAGTCCCAGGACAGTTCCACTGCACCCAGGTAGTATCTTCTGGTGGCACTAAAGCTGAATCGCAATAGGCACAGAAAGAAGCAGGTGGAGAACTTTATTTTCATGACTCTTATTGTTATAAAAATGTCCAACTAGAGAAGTGAAAGATTAATTCTTCTCTAAAATATCTTTGGCTCCCAGGAGAAAAAAGGTCTATTTTCTTTGATTTAATAAAAAGTCCCAATTTTTTTGCAGAGCATTTTAAAGAACTTTACTGCTGACTGTGACAGCAACATTAGCACTAAAGCAGTAACTGACAGGATTGCTTCCTTTTTGGCAGTGGGAGGCAGCCACGGGAAGAACCCAAGTAGGGAAAGGGAGGCTGAGCTAATGCTTAACCCATTCACCTCTGAGAGCAGTAGGGACATGAGATGTCTACTTTAATCAGAACCTTTTAGGAAAAGAAGAGGACGGAGAGATCAAGGTGAAGAGAAGCTTTAATTTTTGCTCATAGTCCTAACCTACTCCAACCCTCTTCCTTAGTGGTAGTGGCAAGAAAAGTTCTGGATGTTGTTGAAGATTCTGGAATCCACTTGCACAAGCAAGAGAGTAACCAGTATCCTATTAGTCTCTCTCCTTCTACCCTCGCTCCTCACACAGATGCCACAGAGTGACTTTTTTAAAACTATAAAGTGAGTCATGTGACTCCTCTGCTCAGAATCCTCCAATAATTTCTAACCTCCTTCACAGTAAAATCATATGTTTACCATGGCCTAGAGCATCCCACATGGTCTGCATACCCTTTCCCCTGATCTCTGTGGTCTCATTTCACTTTGGCTACACTGGCTGCCTTGTTTTTCCTTAAAACATCAAGCACACTCATGACCCTAGACCCTAACACTCGCTATTTACTCTACCTGAAACACCTTTCCTCCGGATGTCCACATGGTTCCACTCCCACAACTTGTTTGTGTCTTGGCTCAAATCTTGCCTGCTCAATGAGTTTCCAATATGAAAACATTTACATTGTAAGTGCTTTACCCCCATGGGCACTACTGATATCCCTCTTGGCTTCTCTTTTCTTGATAGCACTCATAACCACCTGGCATTTATTTATTTGTTTTGTGGTGTTGTTACCTGCTGCATTTTAAGGTTGTTTACATTTTGTCCAGGTACAGGATATATGTCTTTACATAAAAATGTAGCCATGCTAAGCTCACACAGAGGCCCTACTAACATTAATGTATATAAGGGGGAGTGAAGATCCCCCCACCCCAAGGGCCTCAAAGTGTAGGAGCTAATGAGAAGAAAATTGACCAGGGTTTCTATAAGAAATGTTATCACTGAGTCCAGTTCTGCACAAATAAGAATGTGTTAGGGAGCAATTGGTGAATTGTTGTCCAGCTTGGAAACGAACAGGAAGAATTCCCTTTGATAAACATTTGCTAAGACCTCTTCTCTGAGGGCACCAGGATGCAGAGATGATAACTGCTACTTACTATATGCCAGGAACCGTTCTAAGTTCTAATACAGTTGGTATTGTTCATTTTATGGGCAATGAAACTGAACATGGAGAGGTTAGGCAACTTGTCCATCGTTATGCAGTTTGTAAGTGGTAGCATTCAAAGCCATGTACATCTGACTCCAGAAGTAATGCTCCTAACCACTATGCTATACTTCTGTGCCTTAGAAATGAATAAAACCCAGTTCCTGCCCCCTGAGAGTCACAATCCAATGTGGGGAGACAGAAAAGTATACAGTTACAGCACAGGGTGATAAATTCTCTGCTAGGTGCTTCACACACACTATGACAACACTGAAAAGTGAGTACAGATAAAGCAACTGAGGTGCAGAGAGGTTAAATGGCTTTCCTAGGGCCACACAACTACCCATTTCTTCTAGACAGACATTGTCCTAGCCACTGGGTGCATAGCAGTGAAAAATACAAAGAACTGGAAGAAGGACGATAAGCAATAATTATGAGTAACTTATACAGTATGTTAGAAGGTAAAAATAAGTGCTGTACACAAAAAGAAAAGTAAGCAGGGTAAGGGGCAGTGTGCATCAGGTTACAATTTTAAAAGCGGTTGGTTATGGAAAGTCTGACTGAGGTTACATTTCAGTAAAGGGACTTTGCCTTCTACACTGAGGGCAATAGGGAGCCATAGTAGGGCCCTGAGTAGAAGAGGGACTTAACTTTGAAATTAACTTTGAAACTGATCTTTCTGACTACCGTAGAGAGAACAAACCTTACGAGGACAAGGGTAGAAGCAGGGTGACCGGTTAACTGGGGGGGGGGGGGTGAGAAATGTTAGTGGCTTAGGCTATGACGGTACTACTGGACAGGCTGAAAAATAACTGGATGCATTGTGAAGGTAGCGTTTATGTGAACTGTACATGAATTTTGGATCTGTGAACTTTGAGAGGGGGAAGTTTGGAATCACGCCAAGGCTTTCTTAACAGTGAAGATGCCATTGACTGGGATGGGGGTGGTTGGGGCGGGGCGATGTATCCGTCGATCTTCCCAGGTTAAAGGGTTCCGTAGGCATAGCGAGCATGGAAGTTCATTTCCTTCTGAGCGCTTCTCTTATTTATGGTGATTGCAATGTTTTTTAAAATATGTCTTTCTCCACTAAAAAAGAGTAGGGCACATCGCAGGAGCTCATAAATATCTGCTCAATGTTTACATTAACACACTTGGCAAAAAAAAAAAACAACAAAAACAGAAAAAAAAAAAACAACAAAAACAGAAAAAAACATACATGGCGAGTCTGCCTTCTTTATTTTCAGTGAAGTCAACGGTAAAATATTCGTAACGAGGGGAAGACTGAGTCACGGTCGCGTCAGGGGAACTCGCTTCTGAGACGGCGGGCGGGGCAACCCCACCCCGAGGAGGCTTTCTGCGCACGCGCGTCTCGGCGCGTCTGCTGGGCGGGGCTGCGGGCCTGTGACGCCCCCCGCTGAGTCTTGTGGCGCAGCTGCTTGTGGGAACAGGAAGCTGCAGCCGCGGGCCCAGCCCGTCCTCTTCCGCTGCCGCCTTGGGGATGGAAACATCTGCCCCACGTGCCGGAAGCCAGCTGGTGGCGACGACAGCGCGCCATTCCATGTCCTACAACGCCGGTTTTCTTCGAGTGCCCTCGCGAGACGAGCTCGCCGAAATGGCCGCCTCCGGTCAAGGTAAGGATGGGCGGGCGCGCGCGTGGTCGCCGCGGCTGGCGCAGCCAGGAGCCGCCTTCCTGGGCTCCGGAAGGGGAAGGGCTCCGCGCCTGCCAGTCCCAGCCGAACTCCTTCAGGAGCCAGATAGGCGCAGGGGCGGGGAGGGAGCCCAGGACTCACCCCAGGCTCAGCCGCTCCCAAGGTCATGCGCCGGGCTGGGGCCGAACCGCCTCGGGTGTCGTCTCCAGTCTAGCTCACCCAGCCTTCCGGCGCCGCCCCTAACAACTAAAGCAGGAGACATTCCGTCCCTGTTTTCGGAAGCGGTCTGACTCCTTGAGACTAGCTTCTTTGTCCCTTTGGACGTTCATCTCAAATGCCTCACAGGCGTCATTATGTGTGAAACTGCGTTATTGGGTTTGAAAAACTAGCACACATGGGGATAGTACTTTGAAATAGTCGTTTCGTTAGTCGGCGCGGTCAAAGGAAGATTCCTTGTAATTCGCAGTGGAGTACATCTTTAAATTATGCTTCGTATCCTATTTTGAATGCTTAAACTGTATTTAATTCAGTACTGGCTCACAGGATCCAACTGCTAAACAGAGCCATCATTGAAAATTCAATTATATAAACTTATATTAAAAATAAAGACAGGAAAATATTCGAAACTCATTACTTCTTTATTACTTACTATGTTTTATTCCCTATACTAACTCTTGAGGTGGTTTATATCTATCGTGTCTGTGAAGGAGATACCACAGTACGGTGGGCTACTATGCAACTCTTCCCAATTCTGGGTTCAGTGATGTAACAATTCAGTGATGTCATGCTCATGGTGAACGAATACACCATGGAAGTTGGTATATACTACAGATCAGCTCTTGCCCAAATCCGGTTGTTAAACATTTACTAGCACACCATTGAATTTAGACCACTCTTAAGGAGTTGGAATGTGCAATGTGACAGTTACATATTTTCCCCCAGAGCACACTGCTCTCATTGATTTAAAATGTATATAGGTTGATCAGGTAATTTGCACCTAGGAAATTGATACGTTTTGAGGTTAACGTGAATTTCAATCCTTATCATAGTGATGATCACATAATACTGTGTGATCATTGATTTCCTAGGCCCATAAATGTAGCTAATGACTTTTGTCTATCATAGTGCTTAGCAGTGTTTGATGAATGAAGTTGGGTGAACCAGATGTCTCTGATTTAATCCTCCTTTTGACTGGAACCACCTATTGAGCTAAGGAGCTTGGTCAGATTACATTAAAACAAAACTGAAAACTCATTCTTATTTTCAGTGATACTCTTCAACCCAGGGAGAGAGTTTCTTCTTTGACATAGTAATGTTTTGTTGTTAAATTAGAAAATATTAAACTGCCTGTGAGGCCATAGAGGACCCAGTTCCTCAAACATCCATATTTTGGTTCTGCTAAATTGGGATCTATGATCTATCTTGAATAAATTCTTGAATTATATTTTGTATATGGTATAAAGTAGAGGTTGAAAGTTTTTTCTTTAATATGAGTATCTAGTAGTTATAACACCATTTGTTGAAAAGACTTTCTTTTCCCCCATTGAATTACCTTGATGCCATGTTATTAACAATCAAATGACTATATGTGTGGATCTATTTCTGGCCTCTGTATCCTCTTCCATTGTTATATTTGTGTATCCTTTAGGTCATTTCAGCACTGTGTTGAATGCCATAGCTTTATAAATCTTGCAATTAGGTAGCTGTATATATGTCTTGAAATTCCTTGAACTTTTCTCTTCCCCCAACCCCTGCCAAGATTATTTTGGCTGCTTGTGGCACTTTCTTTTTTTTCCTAAATGATTGCAGCAATAACTCCAAGTCCACATGGTCTTTTTTCAGTGTGACTTTGATATTCTTCCCTCCAAGAGCTGGGGTCTGTATTCCCTCTTCATGAATCTGGGTTGGACCTTGTGACTGCTCCTACGGAATGTGGTGCAAGTAACACGACATTTCCCCTCTCCCTTTCTTGCGACAGTCACCTCCTGAACTAAGCTACCTTGCTGTAAGGAAGCCTAGTCTAACCCACATAGAAGAAGCCTATGTCTTCAGATGATTCCAGACCCTGTCTTGTAAGTGTTCCAGCTACAGCCTCAGACATTGTGGAACAGACACACAAGCCCTAATGCTGTGACCAAATTCCTTATCCACAGAATCTGAGAGCATAATAAATGATTGTTTTGCTCCATGAAGTTTTGGAGTAATTTGTTGTACAGCCATAGTAACTGGAATACTACTCTAGATTGTACTTGCACATAAATTTTAGAACCAGCTTGTCAATTACATAAACACTTTTTGATTGGGATTTTATTGGATCCGTGTATCAATATGGAGAGAATGAACATCTTAAAAATACTGACTCTTGCAAAACAAACAGACACAGTATATTTCTCCATTTAGGTCATCTTCAGTTTCTCTCTACAGTATTTTGTAGTTTACAGTGTTGAGGTCTTGTGCATCTTTCATTAAATTTATTCCAATGTAATTTTTTGCAATTAAAATTGTTTTCAAATCCATCATTTCTAATACATAGAAATTCAACTGACTCTTATATTGGTCTTGTATCCTGTGACCTTGCTAATTCAGTTGTTAGTTCTAGTAGCTTTTTGTAGATTACTTTCGGTTTTCTATACACACAATTATTTGCCAATAAAAGTAGTTTTATTACTGTACCTCTTTTCTCATCTCTTTGCCTTTTATTTCTTCTTTGTTGCACTGGCTAAGACCTCCAGTACAGTGGTGAATAGAAGTATTTAATAGATTTTATGGGAAATTGTTCCATAGTTCACTCTTATGTATGATATTAACTGTACATTTTTCATAGATTAAGATAATGGAATGTCAGCAATTTACCATTCAAAGCAATTTACTGTAAAAAGGACACCAAATGATCAACTTCATCTGACATGGAGTCTCTATGATCCTTTCTCACACAATGTTGAGCAAACAATGAAAAATTACTACTACCCATGCAAAGGGTAGTAGTAATCAGACTGATGAAGTTCCTGTCTATTTCTATTTCCTAATTTTCATGCTGATTTTGTTTTCTTTGACCTACAGATTATTTAGAAGTGTATTGTTTAATTTCTATATATTTTAAATCTCACAAGATATTATTATTTTGTGCAGTAAAGGTTTATCTACCTATTTACCTATTCCTTTCTGCATTTCCAAACTTCCATCTGGCATCATTTTCTGTCTGCCTGAATAACTTTAGTCTGCCTCTTCGAACGTTCGTTACTTCTATCTCATTCTTTCCAATCTGGAGCTCCAGTTACATATATATTTAACCCTTTGACCATTTCTTGAACATTCTTATTTGCTTATTTCAGCATATTGATCGTCTTTGGTTCTGCTTCTATTTTCTTTTCATTTTTTTTTCCTTTATGTCGCTTTGCCTTTGCATGGGTAGCAGTAATTTTTTATTGTTTGCTCAACATTGTGTGAGTAAGGATCATAGAGACTCCATGCCAGATGAAGTTAATCATTTGGTGTCCTTTTTACAGTAAATTGCTTTGAATGGTAAATTGCTGACATTCCTTTATCTTAAGACAGTATGTTTTCAGGGAAATAGGGTTGGGTATAGTAGGTAAGCTTGAGATTATCTTCCCTTGGAGAAAGGGATTAGACATTTTGTTAATTCTTTGTCTCTTGGGTTAATCACTTAACTTCTGAGGCTTCATTGCTTAATTATAAAATTGGGTTAGTAAGTACCTACCTTTTCTGTGGATTTAATTAAATATACATGTTTATTGCTTAGCATATTGCCTGGTGAATAGTGAGAGCTCAATTAAACATTACCTCTTTATTATCACTGGAGATCCACATAGTACTGAGAATTTGTGGGCTACTGAATAGTATTGAGTTACTCCTGAAGAGAAGAGGCAAATGAAGAAAATGTTTCATTTAGGATGCATCATTAAGCATTACTGGCAGTTTTTCATAGGTCCTTTTGGTTATTTTTAAATTTGAGAGGAAAAACTAGAGGACTAATTCTAGATTTTTTAGGGTTTTTTTCCCTGTAACACAGACATTAGTATTAGTTGATTTTAGTCTGATTTTCCAAAATTGCAACCCAATTTCAGAGTTAATTTGCTATTTAAAAAGAATATTTAGAGGTTTTATATTACATCTATCTCTGTTTCTTTAAAAATCCCTTAATCTAGTTAGGAGTGGTAGTGATTTATTACAGAAGTAAATATTTTCTTATTTTGTATCTTAATTCTTATAGGAAACTTTGAGGGAAATTTTGAGTCACTGGACCTTGCAGAATTTGCTAAAAAGCAGCCATGGTGGCGCAAGCTGTTTGGGCAGGAATCTGGGCCTTCAGCTGAAAAGTATAGCGTGGCAACCCAGCTGTTAATTGGAGGTGTCACTGGATGGTAAGTGTTGTGAAAGATGTCCAGTGTCTTTTGTGCATGGTTTAGTATTATAGTTATAGGTACCATCTTCTTTAACCAATGAAGAAAACACATTGACTTTTCGTGAAATTCGTCACTTAACGTGTAGCATTTATCTAAACATCATGTTAAAGTATATTCAGTGGTTACACATAGTATATACTACATGCAAGGCATTGCTTTAAGTATTTATATAGATATCTCATTTCTTTCTTACAACAACTCTGGAATTTGTGCTGTTATTATCTATACTCATTTTAAAGCAACTGAGGCTCAGAAAGATTAACTTGCCCAAGGCCACATAGCTAGTAAGTGGTGGAATAGGAGCTAGCTACTTAATTACCTATGTTACATGATAATGTGTCACACCTTATGGTTTCATTTGTAATAAATTCAAAAAATGTTCATAGCAAATTTAGTAAGTGAATATCGAATGCATCAATCTTATAAACTATTTACATTTGAAAATTTTTATTGTACAATATAACACAAATATAGAACAGTGTATATAACAAGTATATATTTTAACAAATACTTACAGAATGAACACCTAAGTAAGAACCACTCAGGTTAAAAAAAATAATGGCTAGCACCCCAGAAACTCTAGAGATTGTTAAGCAATTATTTCCTTGCTTTTCTTTGTAGTTTTAATACCAATTCTGTCACTAAATAATATATTGTATTTTCCAACTTTAAGTAGATGCACTCAGTATGTATTCTTCTGAGTTTTGTTTTATTTGTTCAACTTAATGTTTTGTATATTCAACCATGTTGTGTGTAGTTGTAGTTTCTTCGTTTTCATTTGTATTTAGAATTCCATTGTGTGACTATACGACAGTATATTTATCCAGTTGATGACTGACATTTGAGCTGTTTCAATTTTTGGCTAATGAAAACAATGCTGGGCTGGGCGCATTGGCTCACGCCTGTCACACTCTGAGAGGCTGAGGCGGGAGGATTGCTTGAGCTCAGGAGTTCAAGAGTAGCCTGAGCAAGAGCGAGACCCTGTCTCTACTAAAAATAGAAAAAATTAGCCAGGCTTGGTATTGCACTCCTGTAGTCCCAGCACTCCTGTAGTCCCAGCTACTCGGGAGACTGAGGCAGGAGGATCACTTGAGCCCAGGAGTTTGAGGTTGATGTGAGCTAGACTGACACCACAGCATTCTAGCCCGGGCAATAGAGTGAGACTCTGTCTCAAAACAAAACAACAAAAAAAAAACAATCCTGATATGAACACTCTTAAATTTCCCACTGTATATATGCATACATTTCTGTAGAGTCTATACCTAGGAATTGCTAGGTTGTAGGGTATAAGTATCTTGAGCTTCACTAGATAATGTCATACCATTTGCTAGAAGTAGTTGTAATAGTTTATATACTCCCAACAAGGACTGAGTGTTCCTGTTGCTCTACATTCTTGCCAGAACTTGGTTTTGCTAGACTGTTAAATTTTTGCCAGTCTGGAAATTAGGTAGTGGTATTTCATTGTGGTTTTCATTCACATTCCCCTGAGTAGGGGTGAAATTGAGCAACTTTTACATGTTCATTGACTATTTGGATCTCCTCTTTGATTAAGTTCCATTCTAATCTTTTTTTCTATGAAGTCATTCTTTGTCTTACTGAGTTGTAAGAGTTCTTTATATATTTTGTTTATTTTCCTTAAGTCAGGGTCTTGCTCTGTTGCCCGGGCTAAAGTGCAGTGCCATCATGATAGCTGACTGACACCTCAGACTCCTGGGGTCAAGTGATCCTCCTGCCTCAGCCTCCTGAGTAGCTGGGATTACAGGCATGTACCACCACACTCAGCTAATTTTTTGTAGAGACAGGATCTCACTATGTTGATCAGGCTGATCTCAAACTCCTGGCCTCAAGCAATCCTCCCACCTTGGCCTCCCAAAGTGCTAGAAATACAGGCATGAGCCACTGCGCCTGACCCACATCTTTATATATTTTGAATATCAGGCCTTTGTTGGTTGTATGGATTACAGGTGTTCACTCATTTTGTGGTTATCTTTTCATTTGCTTTATGGTATCTTTTGATGAACTGAAGATCTTATTTTTAATATGGTCAATTTTACTAATCTTTACCTTAATGGCTAGTGATATAACTATAGATTACTTTGCATTTTCTAGACTCTTTTATGATGTAATTGTACAGTATATACTCTTTTTCTGGCTTCTTTCATTCAACATAATAATTTTGAGATTCATCTGTGCTTTTTTGTGTATCAGTAATTCATTCCTTTTTATTGCTCAGTAGTACTCCATTGTATGGATATGCCACAGTTTGTTCCTCTGTTCCCCTTTGAAGGATATTTGGATTTTTTCCACTTTTTGGGTATTACAAATAAAACTGCTATGAACATTTGTGTACAAGTCTTTGTATTTTACATATGCTTTCATTTCTTTTGGGTAAATACCTAGGAATAGTATGGCTAGATCATATACTAAATGAAGGTTTTAACTTTGTAAGTACTTGCCAGTTTTTTTTAAAGTGCCTGTATCATCTTACATTTCCACCGGCAATGTGTGAGGGTTCCAGTTCCTCCACATCATCACTAACACTCGGTATTATCTTTTTGGTTCACATTCTAGTGGGTGTGAAGTTGTATCTCATTGTGGTTTTAATCTGCATTTCCCTAATGACTAATGATGCTGAGCATTTTTATGGGCTTATTTTTTTTTTGCCATCCATGTATCTTTGGTAACTTGTCTGTTCAGATCTTTTCCCCATGTTTTTATTTATTTTTATTGGGTTGTTGATTTTCTTTCATTACTGAGTTGTGAGAGTTCTTTATACTCTGGATACCAGTCTTATATCAGATATGTGATGTGGAAATATATTCTTCCAGTCTATGGGCTTTTCATTGTCTTAACAGTGTCTTTTAAAGAGTAGAAGTTCTTAATCTTGAAGTGCAACTCTTTCTTTTATAGTTCCAGCTTTTGGTGTCATGTCTGAGAATATTTGCCCAATCCAGGGCCACCAAGATTTTCTCCTTTGTTTTTTTCTGGATGGTTTATAGGTTTAGATTTTACATTTAGGTCCATGATCCATTTTGATTTACCCTTCCTTACTTCCTTCATCCCTCCCTCTCTCTGTTCCTTCCTTTCTTTTTTCCTTCCATTTATATTTACTTACTTACTTAATCACTACCATTTCATAAATGAATAATTTACTCTTTGTGTATGGTTCAAGGTAGGGATCCAAGTTATGTTTTGTTTTTGCATATGGATATCTAGTTTTACCCACATGATTTGTTGGAAACACTGTCCTTTTTTCCACCGTATTTATACCTATGTCAAAAATCAATCAACTATATGTCTGTTCCTGAGTTCTATGTACTTACTGTTAAATTGATCTAGGTGACATTATCACATTGTTTCGATTACTGTAACTTTATAATAAGTCATGAAATTAGGTAGGGTAAATCTTGAAACTTTGTTCTTTATCAAAGCTATTTTGAGTATTCTAGTTACTTAGCATTACCATATGAATTTTAGAATCAGCTTGCTGCCAGCGTCTGCCAAAAGCCTGATGAGATTTTGACTGTGATTGCGTTGATCCATAAACATTGGTATATTTCTTTATTTGTTTAGGTTTTCTTTACTTTCTCAGCAGTGTTTTGTAGGTTTTATACATCTTATATATCAAATTTATCCCTAAGTATTTCATATTTTTGATGTTATTATAAATGCTATTACTTTAAAATTTTCAGTTTCCCATTGTTCATTGCTTGTACAGTATATAGAAATGCAGTTGATTTTTTTTTATATTGATCTTGTATATTGCAGTCTTGCTAATGTCACTTATTAGTTTACAGAATTCAGGGGTCCCCAAGACCACTGTCATGTTTGATAATTCTGTAGGAGGATTCACAGAACTCAGAGCTGTTCTACTCAGGTTTATAATTTTTTTTACAGCAAAAGAATACATATTAAAATCAGTCAGGGAAGAGGCACATGGGATAGAGTCCAAGGAGTTCAATGTGTGGAATTTCCACTTGTCCTCTCCCTGTGGAGCCTTTATATTGAAACTGGGTTTCTTGTAGGCAGCCTATGAAAATCCACTTTGACAATCCCTTTATTTTAATTAGGATGGCTAGATCATTCATACTGAAGTTTATTTTCTAAACTTTTTTTAATTGGCTAGTAAAAATTATACATATTTGTGGTATATATGATGTTTCGTTATATGTATACATTGTGAAATGGCTAAATCAAGGCATTTAACATATGCATTACCTCACATACTTACCATGTTTTTGTGGTGAGAACACTTAAAATCTACTGTCTTTGCAATTTTCAAATATATAATACGTTCTTATTAACTGTAGTTACCATGATGTACGTAGATCTCTTGAACTTATTCCTCCTGTCTAACTGAAATTTTGTGTCTTTGACCAACATCTCCCCAGACTCCCTATATCCCTCACCCTCCCCCCCCTCTGGTAACCACCATTCTACTCCCTGTTTCTATGAGTTCGACTTTTTTCACTCTACATATGAGAGGCAGTAGGTATTTGTTCTGTGTCTGGCTCATTTCATTTAACATAATGTCCTCTAGTATCATCCACGTTGTCACAAATGAGAGTATTTCCTACTTTTTTCTGCTTGAATAGTATTCCATTATGTCTGTGTATATGTGTGTGTATGTGTATATATATATGTATACATACATATATACACATATAGAGCACATTTTCTTTATTCATTCATCTGTTGATGGATACTTAGGTTGATTACATATCTTGGCTATTGTGAATAATGCTACAATAAATAGGGAATGTAGACATCTCTTCAACATACTAGTATTATATCCTTTGGATATATGTATATACCCAGTAGTGCAATTGCTGGATCACATGGTAGTTTTTTTTTTGAGACAGAGTCTCACTGTGTTGCCCGGGCTAGAGTGCTGTGGCGTCATCCTAGCTCACAGCAACCTCAAACTCCTGGGCTCAAGTGATCCTCCTGCCTCAGCCTCCCGAGTAGCTGGGACTACAGGCATGCGCCACCATGCCCGGCTAATTTTTTCTATATATTTTTAGTTGTCCAATTAATTTCTTTCTATTTTTAGTAGAGACGGGGTCTCGCTCTTGCTCAGGCTGGTTTCGAACTCCTCAGCTCAAACAATCTGCCCGCCTCGGCCTCCCAGAGAGCTAGGATTACAGGCATGAGCCACTGTGCCCGGCCCACATGGTAGTTTTATTTTAGTTTTCTGAGGAAGCTCTGCACAGTTTTCCATAATGGCTATACTAATTTACATTCCCACCAATAGTGTGCAAGGGTTCCTTTTCTCCACATCCTCCCCAACATTTATCATCTCTTGTCCTTTTGATAATAGCCATTCTAACAGGTGTGAGATGATATCTCATTGTGGTTGTAATTTGCATTTTCCTTATGATTAGTGATGTTGAGCATATTTTCATATACCTTACCTGTTGGCCATTTTTATGTCTTCTTTTGAGAGAGGTCTGTTTAGGTCCTTTGCCCATTTTTTAATTGGGTTATATTTTTACCGTTGAGTTGTTTGAGTTCATTATGTATTTTGGATATTAGCCTTTTATCAGATGTATGGTTTGAAAATATTTTCTCCCATTCTGTAGATTTTCTCTTCATTCTGTTGATTGTTTCCTTTACTGCGAAGAAACTTTTTAGTTTGATACAGTCCCATTTGTCTATTTTTGCTTTTGTTGCCTTTGCCTCTGGAGTCATAGCCAAAAAAACTTTGTCCAGACCAATGTCATGGAGCTTTTCCCCTATGTTGTCTTCTAGTAGTTTTGTAGTTTAAGGTCTTATGTTTAAGTCTTTAATCAATTTTGAGTTGATTTTTGTATATTGTATGAGATGAGAATCTAATTTTATTCTTCTACATGTGGATATCCAGTTTTCCCTGCAGCATTTATTGAAGACTGTCCTTTCCCCATTGTGTGTTCTTGGCTCTTTTGTCAAAAATCAGGTGGTTGTAAGTATGGATTTATTTCTGGGTTCTCTATTTCCTTGGTCTGTATATATGTTTTTATGCTAATACCATGCTGTTTGGTTACTATAGCTTTGTAGTGTATTTCAAAATCAGGTAGTGTGATGCCTCCAACTTTGTTCTTTTTCCTCAAGATTGCTTTGGCTCTTTGGAGTCATTTGTGATTCCATATGAATTTTAGGATTGTTTTTTCTATTTCTGTGAAAAATGTCATTGGAATTTTGATTTGGATTGCATTGAATCTGTAGATTGCTTTGGGTAGTGTGGACATTTTAACAATAGTAATTCTTCAATCAGTGAACATGGAATATCTTTCCATTTATTTGTCTGCAATTTCTTTTATCGATGTTTTATAGTTTTCAGTGTACAGATATTTCTCCTTGGTTAGATTTATTCCTAAGAATTTTTTTTTTGGTAGCTATCGTAAAAGGGACAAGTTTGTTTTTGTTATTATTGAGTTCAGATTTATCATCTTAGTATTCCATCTGTTCTTTGTTTCCTTTTTGTACTTTGTTTTGGATCAAGTGTGAGAGTGTGTATGTGTGTGTGTATATATAACATAAATATATATTTGTATACATATATAATTTTTAATGAGGTGAAATTCACGTAAAACTAACCATTTTAAAGAGGAAAATTCAGTGGCATTTAGTATATTCACAGTGTTGCACAATCACCATCTCTCTGTAGTTTCAAAACATTTTCATCACCTGCAAATGAAACTGAGTACCCACTGAGCAGTTACTTCACATTTCCTTTCCCCAGTCGCTGGCAACCACCAGTCTGCTTTCTGTCTCTGTGGATTTACCTATCGTGTATATTTTATAAAATAAAATCATACAATATGTGAACTTCTGTGTCTGGCTTCTTTTACTTAGTGTAATGCTTTTGAAGTTCATCCATGTTATAGTGTATATCACTACTTCATTCCTTTTTATAGCTGAATAGTATTCCACTGTATGTATATGCTACAATTTGTTTATCCATACGTCCATTGGTGAACATTTGGGTTGTTTCTACCTTTCAACTGTTGTGAATAATGCTGCTATGAACATTAGGTACAAGTATTTATTTGAGTACCTGTTTTCAGGTCTTTTTTGGTATATATCCAAGAGTGGAATTGCTGGTTCACATGATAATTCTATGTTTACTTTTTTGAGGAACCATCTAACTGTTTTCCACAGTGGCTGCACCATTTTACAGTCCCACTAGCAACGTATGAGGGTTTCAGTTTCTTTGCATTTCACTGACACTTGTTTTCCATTTTTTTGTTTGCTTTTTTAAAGCCATCCTGATTAAGTGGTATGTCATTGTGTTTTTCATTTGTATTTCCCTGACTACTAATGATATCCAGCATCTTTCATGTGCTTTTTGGCCATTTGGATATCTTCTTTGGAGAAATGTCAATTGAAGTCCTTTGCCCATTTTTTAATTGGGTTGTTTGTCTTTTTGTTGTTGAATTGTAGGATTTGTGTATATATTCTGCATACTAGAGCCTTACCAGACATATTATTTGGAAATATTTTTTTCTGTTCTCTAAGTTATCTTTTCACTGTCTTGATAATGTTCATTGATGCACAAAAGTTTTTAATTTTGATGAAGTCCAGTTTATTTCTTTCTCTTATTGATTGGATCACGTATTTTTCATTCACATATTTTTAATTTTGTTTCTGTCCTTTGTTGACTTATTAGCTATAATTCTTCATTTTGTAATTTTAGTGGTTGCTTTAGCATTTATAGGATACAACTTTTATTTATCACAGTCTGCCTTCAAAAATGTTATACCGCTTCACATATAGTAAACAGAATGCTTCCATTTCTTCCTTCCCCTTTTGTTTTTATTGCCCTACACTTTACTTTTACACGTGTTATAAATCCATAATACATTCTTATTTTTGCATTAAATATTGAATTCTTATAGTTTTTAATGAGAAAGAAGCCCTTCATATTTACCCCCATAGCTTACATTTCTTGTGCTCTTCATATGCCTTTGTGTGGATCCACATTTCCATCTGGTATCATTTTCCTCTGCCTGAAAGATGAAAGGCTTCTTTAACATTTCTTGTATTGCTGGTCTACTGAGATGAGTTTTTTTCAGTTTTTATTTGTCTGAGAAAAGTCTTCATTTCATCTTTCTTTTTGAAAGATGTCAAAAGCTGCTGTAGGTCAAATGAGATGAAGATTGAGAAGCGAATGCTAGCATTTGGCAAGGTCAAGATCAGTGTTAACCTTGATAAAAATAGTTTCATTGAAGTGATGGGACAAAAGCCTGCTTGGAGTGAGTTTTAGATGACGAATACAGAGGACAATAGAGATAGCAAATATAGACAGCCCTTAAGTAGTTTTGCTGTAAAGGGTAGCAGAGGAAAGGGAAGGTGGCTGGAGAAGAATAGGAGTCGAGGGAGGATTGTTTCAACAATGATTAATAATCACAGCAAATTCGTATTCAGCAATGAACAAAATCTTTGCCCTCATGAAGCTTACATTTTAGTACAGGGTGGGGGCAGGAAGATAGACAATAATAAAGAAACAATTCAACATATTCAAAATGGCATTATCTCTTCCTTCAGCCCCCTCTGCCTTTTCCTCTGCTTCTCTTCCTTGTTTTTATATCATAAAAAATACCACCTGCTGTCCACCTAGTCATTCAGGACAGAATCCTGTCCCTTATCCCCTGCAACCACTCTGTCCTTAAACTCAGGAAGGTTTTATTTATTTTCCTTCTCTACTTTCATCCTCCCCCTTTAATCCTTTCTCCACAACATAGCCAAGAGACATCTTTAAAAAATACACCTGGATAGAGCTGGAATGCATTCTACTAAGTGAGGTATCCCAAGAATGGAAAGACAAGCACCACATGTACTCACCATCAAACTGGTATTAACTGACATAAATGCACATATAAGAATAACATCTATTGGATGTTGGGGGGAAGGGGGAGGAGGGAGGAGGGGACGGGTATTTGCATACACAAAGAGTGCAATGCGCACCACCCGAAGGATGGACATATTGAAAACTCAGATTTGGGGGAGGGCAAGGGCAACATACGTAACCTAAACATCTGTACCCCCATAATATGCTGAAATAAAAAAAAATATACAGTGTGGGCTGAGCGCGGTGGCTCATGCCTGTAATCCTAGCACTCTGGGAGGCCGAGGCGGGCAGATTGTTTGAGCTTAGGAGTTCGAGACCAGCCTGAGCAAGAGCGAGACCCCGTCTCTACTAAAAAAAATAGAAAGAAATTATCTGGACAACTAAAAATATATAGAAAAAATTAGCCGGGGATGGTGGTGCATGCCTGTAGTCCCAGCTACTCGGGAGGCTGAGGCAGTAGTATGGCTTGAGCCCAGGAGTTTGAGGTTGCTGTGAGCTACAATGACGCCACAGCACTCTAGCCCGGGCAACAGAGTGAGACTCTGTCTCAAAAAAAAAATACAGTGTGGGGGCCAGGCACGGTGGCTCATGCCTGTAATGCTAGCACTCTGGGAGGCCAAGGCGGAAGGATCGCTTGAGCTCAGGAGTTTGAGACCAGCCTGAGCAAGAGTGAGACCCTGTCTCTACGAAAATTAGAAAAAATTAGCTGAGTTTGGTGGTGCCTGCCTGTAGTCCCAGCTACTTAGAAGGCTGAGACAGGATTGCTTGAGCCCAGGAGTTTGAGGTTGCAGTGAGCTATGATGATGCCACTGCATTGTAGCCAGGGCAACAGAGGTAGACACTATCTCAAAAAACAAAACAAAACAAAAAACCATCGTGGGAGCTTTCAGAGATCTTCTCAAGTCCACAAAATTAGTACATGGTAGAGCCAAGATTTAATTTCCTTATGTCATGATCCTCTTGGGGCTGGCTTTATGTAGGGGGTAGGAAGGAGCTGGATCATCTCAAGGTAAGAAGGATATGAACATTGCCAGAAAAGCATGTTTGTGTGTATCCAACAGCCCGTCAACTTGTCTGATGTTGGTTTGTTTTTTTGTAGGTGTACAGGGTTCATATTCCAGAAGGTTGGAAAGTTGGCTGCAACAGCTGTGGGAGGTGGATTTTTTCTTCTTCAGGTCTGTATGTCAAATGTTCTTAGATGTTTGGAAATTCCACTTGCCAATTAAGGAATGTGGTGTGGGGAGTTGTAATATAGTCCTGGCTATATCATACTAGAATAGCCTTTGCACTTGTTTTCATGTACTATTTTAAATGCTTGTGACTACTCGAGTCAAATTTTATCATTTATACTGATAAATGTGATTTACTAGTACATATTCCCTGTCTTAGCTCACTTAACAGAGTTTTTAAGACTAATTGAGATATTAAGCAGATGTGATTTCAAAAATACAGTGTGCAGGCCAGGTGTGGTGGCATGGTCCTATAATCCTGGCCTGTAGTCCCAGCGCTTTGGGAGGCTGAGACAGGAGGATTGCTTGAGCCCAGGAGTTCGGGGCTGTAGTGAGCTATGATTATGCCACTGTATTCCAGCCTGGGTGACAGAGCAAGACCCTTTCTTAAAAAAGAATTCAAAAATGCAAGTGCCCTGTGATACGATTTACTCTCATATGCTAATATGTATAGGGAACATTGAGCATTTGATGAGAAATGAGGATGAAATGACAGTATAGTCAGATGTCCTCTGCTATCTCTTTGGCCCCTAGTTTATTTCAGAACTAGTGAGTGCTGGTTCTCTGAGGCTTCTCTAGGAGAGACTAACAAAGCAAGGCTTGAAAAAGGGAGCAGCTTCTTCAAAAACAAAAGAAAACAGACCTTTAATTGTATTGGGCACATGTTTCTTAGCTCTATAGCATTGGTGTTCAAACTTGGTTCCACACTAGAATCGCCTGGGAGTTTTTTTTTTTTTTTTTTTTTTTTTTTTTATTTCAGCATATTATGTGGGTACAGATGTTTAGGTTACGTATGTTGCCCTTGGTCCCCTCCACAAAGTCCGAGTTTCAAATATGTCCATCCTTCGGGTGGTGCGCATTGCACTCCTTGTGTATACAAATACCCGTCCCCTCCTCCCTCCTCCCCCCCCCTCCCGCCGCCCTTCCCGTGGTACAGATGATTAGGTTAGGTGTGTTGCCCTTGGTTCCCGCCTGGCAGTTTTAAGAAAACACTGATGTGTGCCACCCCTCTCCCCAGTATGATTTCACTGGTAGTAGGCATGATCTTGCATCGGAACATTTAAAACTCCTGAGGTGATTCTAATGTGCACCAGTGTGTAGAAACTGCTGTGCTGTAGGAGCCATAACATGTTGAATGGTGCCACAGTCTCCGAATTCATAGCCCTTCGTCTCTTCCCACAGTTGGCATCCCTGATTTTGGCAAGGTAAGTTCTGCATTAGCACCAGGATTGGACTGAGTTTTCCAGATGGGTCAGGTGAAAATGAAATGTGTGGAAGAAGGAAGCTGGTAACTGGCTGAAGCTGGGTTGAATATAGTATCACTGCATAACTAATTCTCTCAAACTTAATGGCTTCAAATAACAATCATTTTACTATCTCTCACAGTTACAGGAGTTTGGGAGGGTTAAGGTGGGCACTTGTGGCTCATGTGGTTACAGGCAGATGATGGCTGGCGTCAGATGAGCAGAGGATTGGGGCAGGTCTGGACTGGCTGGGCCTCTTTGTCTCTCTCTCTCTCCTTCCCTCCTTCCCTCCTTACCTCTTTCTCCATAGTTTCAGAGCTGCTCCTTCATATGGTCCCTGTGCTTGGGCCGGTTTAGGCTTTCTCACACCACTGTGACCTCAGGACTCCTAAGCACAGTGCTCCAGAAAAATGGTGAAAGTTGCACCTCCTTTCTTGCCCTAGCCTCGAAGGTCATGCAGCATCACTTTTCCTGGCCCCCTCCCTGTGGGCTTGTTTGCAGCTGCTCTGTTTCTGGACAGGCGTGGGCCTCCCTCCTTACACCTCTCTCTTCTTCCTCTTGCTTCTTCATGTGGAAGTGCAATGACAGTTATATCATTGTTATTTCCCCTACACCCTGCCCCAAATGTCATAAATGTCTTAATATTGCTTTGAAATGTCTTAATTTGAGTGTGCCCTCTGTTTCTTTTGGGGGCCTTGACTCACAGAAGTAATTGGTATTGGAAGAGTCTCTAGGATGGACCTTCAAAATGAGATTCTGGTGATGGATAAGTCCAATATTCAAGGAGTACATGGATGCCTCCTTGCTAGGGGAGGTGGGACATAGGGAATCTTTGGTGAGCTCTCATGTTATCTGTCACCATACGGGTGAGGGTAGGGGGCAAGCATGACATTGGGAGATCCTTTAATTAGACTTGTCAATTACTTAAAAAAATCCAGTTGAAATTTTTATTGGAATTGCATTGGAACCATACAGTTAAATTGGGGAAGAATTAATATCTTTTATGATATTGAATCATCTATCTGTGAACATGAGTTTTCTCTCCAATTTTTAGGTATTTAATGTTTTTGAATAGGCTTTTATTTATTTTTCCATATAGTTCTTATACATCTGTAATTCAGTTTTATTTCTGGATATATTATAACTTTAGTTGCTCTCCTGGATGATGTTTTTAACACTACACATTCTGGCGGGGTATGGTGGCTCACACCTGTAATGCTAGCACTGTGGTAGGCCGAGGCAGGTGGATTGCTTGAGCTCAGGAGTTCGAGACCAGCCTGAGCCAGAGCGAGACCCCGTCTCTACTAAAAATAGAAAAAATTAGCTGGGCATGGTGGTGCCTACCTATAGTCCCAGCTACTCCAGAGGCTGAGGCAGAAAAAATTAGTTGGGTGTGGTGGTGCCTGCCTGTAGTGCCAGCTACTCCAGAGGCAGAGGCAACAAAAACAAAAAAAAAAACCTACACATTCTAACTTATGCTGGTGTGTTGAAATATAGTTGATATTTTATATTTGTTACAGTCAGCCATGTTGCTAAAGTCTCTTATTTCTGATTTGTATTCTTTTTTTTTTTTTTGAGACAGAGTCTCACTTTGTCGCCTGGGCTAGAGTAGAGTGCCATGGCATCAGCCTAGCTCACAGCAACCTCAAACTCCTGGGCTCAAGCAATCCTCCCACCTTAGCCTCCCATGTAGCTGGAACTACAGGCACACACCACCATGCCTGGCTAATTTTTTCTATTTTAGTTGCCCAGCTAATTTTTTTTTTTCCTGTTTTTAGTAGAGACAGGGTCTCGCTCTTGCTCTGGCTGGTCTTGAACCCCTGATCTCAAACAGTCCTCCCGCTTCGGCCTCCCATAGTGCTAGGATTACAGGTGTGAGCCACCGCGCCCAGTCTTGTTTGGGATTATTTGGGTTTTTGTCTATAAAATCATATTGTCTGTGAACAATGATATTTTTCCTTCACAGTCTTTATGAATTTAATTGCTTTTGCTTACCAAGCCATAGGTAATTTCCACCACTTTTTGAAGCTTTCCAGCCCATGTGCACAGCCCACAGGCACCAGTGTTCTGATTTCGATCACTGTGGAACAGCAACACTTGCGGGTAATGTGCCAGTTTTTAATGTATTCAATTCCCTGTACCTGTTCCTGCTCTAATGGAAGCATGATGTTAATCTTTGCCAGTAGAGGGCGCTAGAGGACCTTGCAGGGGGAAGGGGCTTTCTTTTCCCAGTTCAGGTGTTGTATGTTTTGCTTCTTTGCGCCTGCAGTACAGTTGGCCACTGATGGCATAGAGAGCAGGAAATCACCTCACAGTCCTGGCCTGAGCCATGCAGGGGACTTTACCCCCACTGGTACTGCTTTTGCACCTTTGTAAAAAAATCTATATAGACAAAGATGTCTATAAATAGGGACAGTTTTACTTTTTCCTTTCCAATCTGGATGACTCTTAATTTCTTTTCTTGCTTTCTTGCCTTATTGCATGGACTGTGACTTCACTTCTGGTGAGATGTTGAACAGGAGTGGAGTAGGTGGACATCTTTGTCTTGTTTTCAGTATTCATTCTTTCACCATTATGTACATTGTTAGCTGTTGGGTTTTTTGTATATGTCCTGTATCAAGTTGAGGAAGTTCCCCTCTTTTCCTCTTTTTCTGAGAGTTTTATCATGAATTTGTGTTGAATTTTGTCAAATGTATTTTGAGGCTAGGCCAGGTGATACTGCAGGAATAATAGGAAGCACACCACCAGTTTAGTTTGGTGCTTTCAATTCTGGTCTTCTCCAATCTGCCTGTTGCTCTTTTCTTATCAGAGCCCTCAAATAGCTGTTCCATGTATTCTGTTGGTTTAATAGCACAATTCTGTGGGAGAAACAGGGTAGAATAAATGAACGAGAACCTTCATTTAGCATACAAAGTTTGATATTCAACTGGGTTCCTGCAATAAAGTAGTTTGTTCTTTTTAGTATTAAGTAATTCTATTGTATAAAGATGACAGAATTTGTTTATCTATTCATATATTGATGAACTTTTGTGTTGTTTCCAGTTATTGACTCTTATAAGTAAAGCTACTATGACAAGAGCTGCCATTCTGGAGGTAGCGTAATAGCATGTGTAGTTTCAGTGTGGGTAGATGATGCCAGATCGTTCTCTTAAAATACTCTCAGTTAATACTCTTAGTAAGAGTATATGAGTGTCTATTTCCCCACATCCTTACCAACACTCAATATTTTCAGTCTTTTAATTTTATCCAATCTGATAAAAAATAATAGCTCATTTTAATTTGTGTTTCTGTGATTACTTATGAAATCAAACTTTTTCTTAGCCACTTCTGTGAATTGCCTTTCCCCAATTTTCAAGTGGATTTTTTTCTTTCTGATCTCTATAAGAGCTTTACTTTTTTATGAGTATTAATGTTTTATGGTACACATTGCAAATATTTCCTCTAGCCCATTCGGGTAACTGGTTGGTGGTGCCATTAACTAAAGTAGGAACTAGGGGAAGAGCAACAATGCAGGAGGAAACTCTAGAAAGTTGAAGAGTTCCAGTTTTAGCTATTTTGGGATATCCATGTAGATATGACTTATCAAAAATTTGGTAGAGAGAAAAGATATTTATGGGATATTGACTGATGGCCTATAATCAGTTTTATCCTGTTCATGTTTCCTTGATGAAATTGTTTTCACTGAGTTTTAGTGTTTTTGTGCTATAGGTATATTTGGATGTGCTTTTCCTTACATGTCTGTCCCCTTATATGAAGTTGCTCATGAGAAATCTCTGGGACCACATGCTAGATTTCTTTCTGAGCAACTGGTATCTTTCTTCCTGTTGAGCAACAGTGATTACTATCTGACAGCCTTGCTCTGTTCACATTGCCAAGAAACTTAGTCACTCACAGGCACATCAACTTCTCAGAGATGCTCTGTGGAAACATTGGTGTGTTGTAAGTGCCATCTCTTCACCTTATATCTTGACCTCTCTACCCTTATTTTCATTACCTTTTTTTTTTTTTTTTTGAGACAGAGTCTTGCTCTGTTGCCTGTGCTAGAGTGCCATGGCGTCAGCCTAGCTCACAGCAAGCTCAAACTCCTGGGCTCAAGTGATCCTCCTGCCTCAGCCTCCCAAGTAGCTGGGACTACAGGTGTGCGCTACCATGCCCGGCTAATTTTATCTTTTTTAGTAGAGATGGAGTCTTGCTCTTGCTCAGGCTAGTCTTGAACGCCTGACCTCAAGCGATCCTCCTGCCTCAGCCTCCCAGAGTGCTAGGATTACAGGTGTGAGCTGCTGTACCCGGCCATACCATTTTATTTTTAAGCTAACTTAAAACTTTGCAAGGGAGTGTGTGTGTAAGATTACAAGTAAATTAAAATAATTGCTAGCAGTTATTTACAGTGCCAGACATAGGGCCTGGCGCATAGAGTGGATGCTGAGTAGATGATGAGTGAATGCCATGTTTGTACAAAGAATCAGATGGCAAATGTCTCCAAATATGGACAGTCAGAAGGGTTTTGACAGTCTGCTTCATGATGTATCCTAACAAAGAGATACAGCAATCCTGTGGTTCTTCTCATTTCTTATTGTCATTGTTGTTGAAATTGTAGCTTGCAAACCATACTGGTTACATCAAAGTTGACTGGCAACGAGTAGAGAAGGACATGAAGAAAGCCAAAGAACAGCTGAAGATCCGTAAGAGCAACCAGATACCTACTGAGGTCAAGAGCAAAGCTGAGGAGGTGAGACTTGTTCATGTGCAGTATGTGAAGGGCACAGACAATTTTGTGTGTAAAAAATGGGCTAGACATACCAATATCTCAGTGATGGACAAGGCTTAAAGATTACAAGGTACTTGGAGTAATGAGATAAAAGCCTTAGTTAGTATATCTTTACTTCAGAGGCATTTTTTTTTTAAAGCTAGGTAATTAAAGTGTTTGGTGACCTTTGTCAGTGATGCAGACAATACTCGTCTCTGTATGTTTTTGGATTGATATTGAATCATATTTTGTCTCCATGCACATATATCTCTGAAACATCCATACTCTACTTTTTCTACACATAGGTAGCCCTGGAGTCAGCAAACTTTTTCTGTAAAGGGCCGGATAGTAAATATTTCCAGCTTAATAGGCTGTATGGTCTCTGTCACAATTACTTGACTCCACTGTGTAGTGTGAAAATAGCTGTAGATGATACGTAAACAAGTATGTGTGGCTGTGTTGCAATAAAACCTTATTTAAAAACAGGTTTGGCCCATGGGGCTGTATTTTGCTACCCCCTGATCTAGAGCACAAATCAGGTTAGATTATATTGTCTGGCGCTGGAGGAACAGGAGAAGTCTTTCCTCTTTAAAAGGGTGTATTTTGCTGCTGCTTTATTACTTTTAGGAATATGTCAAATGTCCTAAAGAAATAAGTGCACTGAACTAGGAAGAAATAAACCAGAATCAGAGTGTCAAGAAGGTGGCTAGTACCTTCTGTAGCCTGGAGTACCTTCTGTAGCCTAAGGTTCTGCCACTGGCTTTCTCTAGATTCACAGGGAAAAGAGTTCTCTTGTACTGAGTGGCTCTTCATGCTAGGCACTGGGGACTTAGAGGTAAATCAAAACAATCTTTGTCCTTGAGGCAGTCACACTCTAGTGTGGTAGTAGATGACAGAAAAAAGCAGTGACAGAAAAAAGTCATATAATCAAGTAGTATAGGTGGTAGTAGATGAGGTACTTGGCTTAAACATGGCAAAATAAATACATGCCTTTATCTGTACTTCATTCTGAAATATTTCTGAATGACGGTAACAAAGTATAAAAGGTTAAACCTGTAAGGATAAAGAGAATAGGAGAGGAACAGCAGTAGACAAGAAATTTCAGCAAATTTTTAGAAGTTGGAAAACAGATAGTTGAGTGGTAAATGACTTAGCAGAGTAGAAAAATACTGAACAGATGACAACCTAGCATCACCAGGTACATGGTGACAGTCTCTGTATGGTGGCAAGTAGTCACTCAAAGCTGGTGCCTTCCCAGAGTGGGAAGGTGGCAAAGGTGGGCAGCTACAGGAGCCCAGATGGTACTCCCTTCCTTCTGTCCCTCTTCCTCAATCTCCATGTTATGACAGTCACACTTTTTTATTTCACCAAAATGTTATTCAAATGTTCATAAAAGTAATGCACGATTGTTGAAAACTTTTTTAATAATATCAGAAGTATATATAATAATAAGGTTAATGTTTGACTAGAACCAACTGTTGACTCGCAGGGAGCTTGTTAGACACTAACCAAATGATTTGAAAGTGGTTCATTCCAGAAATATTTATGTTCCTGCTCCCGGCCCAGCACTGTCACAGTCCCTAGGGATATAGTGGCCAGTTCCTCCACTCACAGAGTCCATGGTCCGATTTGGGAAACAGGATGAAGATGATAATAAGTTCAGTGTTTAACAAAAAGCTGACTTCATTGAGAACAGTTTTAGTGGGGTGGTAGAGTTGAAAGCTGTACTATAGCAAGTTGAGGAAAGAGTAGGAAGTAAGAAAGTAAAAATAATAAAAACAATTATTTCAGGAATTTATATGATGTTTTTTCTTCCCCCCTGAGGGAAAATGGCAGAAGTGCCTCATTTGGGAAATGTGGAGGTCCAGGAGAATTAGGGGAGGTGGAAATGAGGCAGGAAGACATAGGCATATTGAGGGTGAGGGGACACTTGAGGGTTAGGAGACAGTGATCCAAAGAGGCTGGGGAATGTCGGTGTGAGTGGCTGAAGTGGTTTGGAGATGTAGTCCCTATACTTGAATTCAAGAAATGATCAGGTCAGGATGCTAGATGTGTTGTTCATGTGAACACTCTCTAAGGTGGAGGTTATACTTGTGAGAAAGGAAGTCTGAGCCACTTACCAAAGTTCTCTCTGAAATGCGGGTGGTGGTGGGAAGTGGCCAGGAGATTGATAGAGCACAGGCAAAGGAGCCATAAAGGGTGCCCAAGTATATGCTCTGAACCTCAGGTGAGTAGGAATTTTTGCTGGAAGGTAGAGGGGAGGCTGGAGGCTTTGGGAGTTTAAGAAAATAAGGACCTCACCTATTAATCATCCTTGGATGTAGTGAAGTGTGAGAATGAGAATTCATAGTCATCTACTTGAGAAGAAGTTTCAGAGGGAAATGGATGGGTGGATGGATGGGCAAGTGGACAGGCAGATGGATGGAGAGATTTGAGGGAGAGACTTCACAGAATAAGCAGCCTCCATTGGAGGGTAGATGCCAAAGAGAATGGAAGGAGCAAAATTGGAAACAATGAGAATTGCCCCTGTAATCAGTCTATTTAGTGCAGCTTCACTCTTTCCTCATAATTGTCCCCATGAACTCTCTGTCTTTGTTCCTATATAAACTCTCAGGTGAATCCCTTAGTTCTTTAAGTAGCATTACTAAAGACAGAATCAGAGGAGTTGCCCTTGACTTCTCATTCCCCATATGGCCATGACATCCAGTCACAAAGTCCTATCTCAAAAACATCTCTTGAATTTGATCACTCTTCACTAGCACCTCTGCCACTACCCTGTTTGAAAGAACCATTGTCTCTCAACTCCTGCCCTGCTTCCCATCAGGCTCCCTATAGTCTTATTCTCCCCACAGCAGCCAGTGGTCATATTCACATGTAAGTCAATTCATGGATTCCATCATCCTTTGGTAAAGTGCAAACTACTTACCTAATAGTTGAAGGGATTAACATCTTTAGCAAAATAACTCATTGTGGTATCTTCTATTCCCAGGTGGTTTCATTTGTGAAGAAGAATGTTCTGGTGACTGGGGGATTTTTTGGAGGCTTTCTGCTTGGCATGGCGTCCTAAGGAGGATGACTTCACTTCTGTTGTTCCTGGTTTTGTCCAGCCAGCAGCCTCTACACTCCATCATAGGACACCGAGTCTCTCCTCTTCCTCATCTTCTCCCGTGCCTTCCTCCCTGCCATGGCAATTCTGAATGGCTTCTATAGGCATCTGTTGGTACAAGTTATTACAGCCCTGCCACAAACTCGATGGTGGCGGAAGAGACAATAGACGTTAGCTCTCCTTCCAGTACACACCCCACTTGGCCAATCTGTAGGTCAGCAAGAATGTTCCTTTTCCTCCTACATAAGATACTTACCAGAACATGGTGCAAGCTGGTTCACCATGGAGGATGAGTGGATCCTCAAAGGTTGTCCCAAACTGTTGATTTGGAAAAGAAATAAGCATATAGCTTATTATGTGCTGCATGGAAAGGAACTGAATACATTTGCCTTTAAGCATGAAAGATTTTGGTATCTTGGTGTCTACTTTCTTTTTTAGTTGTTTTTAGATTACAGAAAGAGAGCTATTTATACCTGCTATAATTACCCTGATAAAAGTGGCATCATAAGTACTATAAATGAAAAATCTGAATCTGGAAAGTATGTGCTATGCTGAAGGTACTATATTTGGTGGGAAGGTGTTTGGGGAAACCAGCTGCTAGAAATACATTGTTGGATGGTCAGACTTAGTGAATCATTTAGGGGCATGAGGATATTGTCCAGCAATGTTTTCTGCCATGAGGGATAATGCATCTGGCTGTTTCCAAAGGGTTTATTTATGGCAAAACAAGTGATTTAGGTGGGAAGGAGAAGAAGCTCTTGAATTTTTATTTCATATAAAAGGTTTTATGCTTTGAATGTGAGGTATTCTTCACCTCTTGTCAAAACATTTAGGGTAGCCATAGTTCCTCTGTGCCAATTCTATTTTTTTATCTAGTTAAGTATGAAATACAACATTTAACTTTAAAGAAGTAGCTGTACAAACATTCAGAATTGAGAAAGATAATGATAGTACATGTGAAATAAATTATTTCCATCAAGTGTAATTTGCAGTCTCATGATGACCGCAGCTCTTAGAATTATTCTTTGAAATAAAAGTTTATGCACACACACATTTAGAATCTTAGCACATTTTGTTGTAATGGAATGTTGCTATGTCTGCAACTCCAACTAGAATATCAGCTTCCAGAGAGCAAGGCTTCTGTCGTCTTCACCATTATACTCACAGGGCCCAGCACTTAACAGGTGCTATTTGTTGAATATATGAAAAATGACCTTATAGAAAGAAAACTCACTGTTAAAGGTTAGTTTTACTAATAATTAATTCTTAAACTTGCAGAAGATCCTTTGTGAAATAATGTGTGTGTTTCTAAGGCCATACGTTTAAAATGTTTTTAACCTACCTTGAAAATGATGTATTGAATTTTAAAATCGAAACTACCAGTGGCTATGTGGAACTTTGTAGAAATCACCTGTTTGCATTCTTCTTATTACATTTAAAGGAAGATAAGTTAATTTGCTTTGCAGTATGTGTGAATCATCTCAAAATCATAATGGTATGAACCTCTTTGCTGCATTTTTTCTACAAGAACTTAAATTTTTCCCACTTTTTATCATGGAAACTTTGAAACATATATAAAAGTAAAGAATATAGTACAGTGACCCTCCCATGTATTCATCACCTACCTGTAACAATCATGAAATTAATAGCTATACATGTTTTATCAATTATTGTGAAACAGACCAAAATATTTTATCTCAGTATGTATCTCTAAGAGGTAACAATTCTTTTTAAAAATCATAAGTACAATACCTCATCACATCAAAAATTAACAATAATTCTTTAATATTATCCATTATCTGGTAAATGTTCAAAATTTCCTTATCTCAAGTGTTTTACATTTAGTTTGTTTGAGTCAAAGTCCATACAAGGTCCACATTGCATTTGGATGATCTGTCTCTTAGGATTTACAGGTCCTCATGGTTTTTTTTGGTTTGCAATATATCGATGACACTGAGTCATCTGTTTCCTAGTTCCCAACAGTCTGCTTCTCCTGATGCCTGGGTCCCTTGGTCATGCCATGTATGGTGATCATGGCTGCATATTTAACTCTACTTATGTGACTTACCCACAGCAATGGAATGGCGACAGCAAAAGCTAACCAAAGTGCCCTGCGCCCCTTTGGGTTGCTTGTTGGGAAGAGTAGCCATCCAGTGCCTCTCCAGTGGGGTGGGGTTGTCTTTTGTCCATCTGTTTTTCTTGTGAATATTGGTGAGGACAACAAAGATTAGCAGGTTGGTCTAAACTTCCTTGAGCAGGTTGTAGTAGGTAATAGTCTGGCCTCAGATTCTATCCTGATTGTCCAAAATGAGATCTGTAGGTCCCTCCTGAAGTTTATTCCCAGATAGTTGCTTCTGGGACCATGAGGGACATGGTTGAGGTCAATATTGCAGGTTGGCTTCATCCTGCTACTATAAGAATTGCCTTAAGTTCTGCCCACAGAGCGGGACCACCATGCCCACTTGGAGTTGTGCAGAGCTGGTATGGAGGTTGAACAGTTGCACTGATGCACACCTCAGGTTTCAGTTTAGCTGAACCATCAGTGAAGTAGGCTCAGGCATTTAGGGTAACCTCTGAATTGAGGCCCCATTGTACCAGTAGCTTTGCTTCGGGTGGTGAAGTGTGGGAGATAAAGTTTCCCCCAGAAGAAAAGCTGGCACCCCTTCATGCAAAACTGAGATGATACTAGGACCAGGCATCTCCACCCTTGAATGCACTCTTTTCATTTGATTACCGAGGCCTGTTTAGCTAAGCACATATTTTCCCCAGTACCAGAGTCAGATAACATTCTGGGGATTCATTTTTAGTAGTGGTGGGGCCGAAGTTTTTCCTTGAGTGAGTGAGGAGCGTTTTCACTGAAAAGCTTGGCTTTGAATGTGTTCGTGGTTTCGGCGCCCCCTGCTGGCGGTAACCCAGTAACAACGCACTCGGGACTTCAACTTCTCAACCAATAGGAGTGAAAGCTCCTCCCTTAGGGCCAATGCCGCCTCTTCCCCTCCCCCTCCTTCTCCCGGATCCCGCAGTGCCTGGACAGCTTTCGGGCTCCGAGTCCCGTTCTGTCACCTTCCGGGTCACACTACAGCATCGCCCTGTGTCCTCACCAGTTTGAGCTACTCTTTGGCCCAGTCTTCCTCCCGCGGTGGGACTGGGTAGGATGGGGACTTGGAGCATGCTACAGCAGAGCTATGGCATTTGAATCTCTCCTTCCTGAAGTTCTCCCGGAGAGGGGAAAGGGATCCAGGCGCACTTTCCTTTCCAGCGGCTACCCGTTTGGGATCAACAGATGGAGTCCAATGTTTTCAGTCTCCCCAACACTGTCCTTATTGCTGACACCCGAGCTTGGGGGACCCCCTGCCTGAGTGGCCCGTTTTCATGAGTGTCATTGCCATTGTGATAACACCCTAGCAAGACTCTCCTCTCAAATAGCCGCTTGTTTGTTCCAACCTCTCACCACCTAGCTTCCATTCATTAACAGGCGGGTAGGGGTCTTGGGCCCACCACTTGGGTGATAGCCCTTGCTACTGAATCTGGGTAGTTACTATCTCGTGGGTGCTGGCAGAACACCAGACAGGATTCAAGTTGGAGGACCGAATTCTACAAGGAATCAACTCTTAGAAAATCCCAGCCAACATGCTCTTGGGGTGGGTGCTTGTGGCTTTGAAAAGCAAGAGTTACTGTGTAGTTACCTATTGTAACAATGTTCTCTCCACGATCCTTTAGTTTGGCGTTTGCCAGAAAGAAGAACATAACTAATGGTTGGACTCTTATTTGAAGCCTCTACTTTTGTACAGTTTGGGAAAATACAATAAACCTCTGCTTGAAGAAAGTGATATAGGGATGGATTTGAAGTTTCTGAGTATCATCAATGTTTTCATGATGATGTTTCTTCTCTGAGGGAAATTTGATTATAGATAGTTCTGGACCCTGTAAAAAAATTTGCTGCTGTCTTTGCTCCCTCCACCAAATCATCAGCTTCATTTCTCTGTCATGAAGTCCAGTATGATTTCTGGGAAATCAGGTCCAGAACTAAAATATGTTTTCTGCCCAGTTCTCTAACAGATTACACTAATGTTTAAGTAATTGAGCAGAACATCTATTTTAGTTCTGGACCTGATTTCCCAGAAATCATATGGTGTGGCTTACATCTGTGATGCTTTTATTTTTAAGGAATCATTGATTTTAAGAACATTATTTTTCTAAAGAAAACTGACAGTGTTGCACTTTTCCACATTTTTATAAAGCTGTGAAATCAGCTTATTGACTTGCCAACATTGTCTATCTTCTTCAATTTTAAAATGGTAAGAAATGACATGATTACTGAGAGTAGTGGTCCTCATCCTTGCTTGCACATGGGAATTACCTGCAGAATTTTAAAAACTACTGATGCTTGGCTCCCCTAGAGATTCTGATTTCACTGGTCTGGGGTGTTATTAGGGCAGGCCTGAGGTTTTAAAACGTCTCAGACATTTCTAACGACTACCCAAGACCAAGAACCACTGAAGTACAGAGTTAGAAGCTGGTGCTGATAAAGAGTACTTCTGTTAACAAGTGATAACAGGCCTTTAAAGCTTTTTAAATTAAGTACCATAAACCTCAGATGCCTTCTGGATACTGAACACAAGTGTAATGTTACAGTCTATTAAATGTTTTAGGAATCATGGAGCAGATGCAAGGAAGGGAGTTGTACTGTGGCAAAATGGAAGAACAAGGTTGTGGGGTAATGGAATATTCATATGGCACTAAAGTACCACCCCATAAATGACTTACCCATTACAAAGGTAAAAACTACCTTTCCAGCTAAAAGGCCAGTCACTAACCAAGTGATTAAACTTAGTATCACTAATAGCCAACTTAGGAGTTTTATTTGGTCTCTAAAATGGGGGATGAGATCATAGTTCTTACCTTACTAGAGTTCTTTCCTGAAAGACTGAGATTGACTGGTAATCTCAGTGTCAAACACATAAAATGCACTTGGTAAATGTTAAGCTTTCTCTGATGGCTATTCTTCTATATATCATAATGATAACTAAGAATAAGACTTAAATCAACATCTTCCACTGAGGCAGAATTGTTTAAAAGAAGGAACAATTGATTTGGAACTTTCAAAACTCTAAAGTAGTATACCTCAGGAAAAAAACATTTAAAACAGTCTGAAACTTGAGTAATTAACACAGTAAAAATAATTTTGTAATAAAACCAAAAAGCTATCTATTTGATCATGTAGTGACTCATAATGTAAATCCTAGCCCTATCAATTGATAATTTTAAATGTAATTTAGATTTGTAGATGTTGTAAACATTACATGTAAAATGTTTTATTAAATTGTTCTATTATTAACACAAAAGTTCATTATTTCATGGGAATTTAGTACTGTTACTCTAGTTTGTGGATGAAACATCTCTAAGGCAGCATTTCAAGTCCCTCTGGAGAACATTCACCTGAAGAAATGCTGTCTGCAAAACAGGTTTAATTTGGCAAGGACTGCATACACTATTCCTTTCGGAAGAATCATAATTCATATTACCATGCAAAAATATCTGAAGTCCAACAGGAAAGAAACCTGTTTATTTGTGTCTAACCTAGCATTCCCTAAACTTATCTGACCACAGGAACCTTTCTTTTCTCCCCTGTTCCAGCAATTCCTGGAAACACTTTGGGGAATGCTGCTTTAAAGAAAACTGTTGGTCTCAAATAATAATGGTATTTGAACATCAGGACCTATCAGAATTTGTTCCTGCTCTTACATAGTTGGGGCAACGGTGGTTCTAGCACCAATTTGAGGAAAGCAAATGGCCTGTTGCATAGTGCCGCCTCCTACTCCATAAAGTGACAACTGTCAACAAGTTTCCTTCAGCAGCTTTGTATTAATGTCTAGATCCACCATAACAGGTTTTGATTATAAGGATATAAAGAATAGATAAATCACCTAAAAATTTTAATTCTCTTGCTGACTGCCTGAGTTCCAACGAAATTGTTTTCTTCAGTTCCTTCATGATAAATTAGGGTTCATTAGACATTACAAGAATCATTTCTATGCCCTTCCTACCACTGATTGAACAAATATTAAGCACCTCTGGCTAGGAACTGTGGTGGGGATGCAAAAGCAGAAAGAAATGCTCTTACTGGCATCTGGAAAGACACTTTGCTCTGCATTGTTGGAAGTACAATAGGTATTGAGTTAGGTTAAAGGAAACTTAATTTAGCATGTAATCTATTAAAGGTGTCAAAATTGTGATGCTGGAGGGGTGAGTCCTTTCACCTAACATACCTCATGACTTAAGTTTTATGAATGGCACTAGAGGTCTGAATGCTAAAGAGAACTCATTAATACCTGTATCTAATAGTCTTAAAATACATTTAATATAAAACCAAAATTTTTCACTTAAGTTTATTTTAGCAGCTCAGTTTTATTACATTCTACATATTTGTCTTTTAATATATTTATATTTCTGCCTGTTCTGCATAGATGGTATATTCATTAACTTTATAGTTGACTTTTTCATTTGTTATTTGCTGCTACCTGGCCTGAAGAAAGTTAGGAAGATAAATAAAATTCTCTTGGTGGAAACATGGAGCAGCATTTAACTTCTCAGCAGAACTTTACTTTGATGCAGACTTCAGTGTCAGGTTTTCTTCCTCTTCTTTTTCAAATCCTGAACAGACGCGAGATCTTCCCTTGGGATATTGAGCACAACACTTACGCAGTTCTTGGATGACAGCCTGACACTTCGATTCCATGTAGTTGTTGGCTGAAAAACAGACAGGCAGACCCTAGTCATGATCTCATAGGACTAAGGGAGGTTTAGGTCAGCACTTTCCACCCTTTATCACTTTTAGTACCTATGGAACTGGAAGAAAGAGGACATACCCAAGTACACTGAATTCTACCTGATTTAGAGACCTGCCAACAGGGTCATTAGGAAGAAAACTATGATTTACAAGTAGTCAAAAGCTATTTTAATATACAATTTACTATCTTTTAAGGTTAATAGCTTATGTGTGTCTTTTACTAGGTCAGTAGTTTTTAACACTATTATTGATCAATAATCCCTTTTGGTAATTTGATGAATTAGAAAAATGCCCATACCCCACACATTACTTTTCATACCGTTTAAGCTGGTTGCCGGACCTCCCATACCAAGTCTGTGCATCAGGAGTTGGCAAACTGCAGCCTGAGGGTCAAATTCGACCCTTTTATGGGAGCTAAGAATGGTTTTTAGATTTTTAAAAGGTTTAAACATGCATGCATGCGTGCATGCACACACACACACACACACACACACACACACACACAAAGACCTTTGGCCCCCAAGGCCCAAAATATTACCTGTTTGGCCCTTTTCATAAAACATTTTCAGAACCCTACTGTATATATAAACCCTAAATTAAGGAAGACTTGACTTAAAGGTTCTAGGTCAGCTGCAGTTGATCTGAGTACCCCAGCACTAAAATGGGGTCCATGGTAGTTAGCCTAGAAAGACACTATAGGAAGGTGGCTATGAGTCCAGGTTTAGAGCTAGACCAATTCGGGGTTCAAATCCCCACCATACCTTTACTAATTTTGTGACCCTGGGCAAGTTTTATAACTTCTGTGTCTATTTCCCCACCTATAAAATGGGGTTCATAGTAGCATCTACCTCATGGATGAAAGAAGGATGTGTAAATTCCTTACAACAGTGCTTGTCGTCTAGTCAGCACTTAATGCTAATTCTCTTATCTTCTCACACTGTACCAAGGGGGTATAAACAGCTCTTTTTAACTTGATTCTTGTTCTCCCTTAGCCATGGATTGCTATTTAAAATAAGGTAAGAATTTATTTGGGAGAGGAAATTAAATGCAAAATTTTTTTTTACTTTTTCTTAAAGTTGGAGGAAGGGAAGAAAAGTATGACTATAATGGAATTATCATACATCAACATTTTAGATTAATCTAAAAGATTTTGTAAAACATTGCTTACATCAAAAAGTGAAAAGTCCAAGAATAAAAGTTAAAAGACCAAGGAAATACACACAGTTTTTCTTTGGTGGTGGGGCTTTGGGGGAACTTTGAACATTTTTCATTTGTACCTTTCTATATTTTCATGACCATCTCCATCTATTACTTTAATAATGGGAAAAATTATCAAAAAATCCAATTTTCAAATTCAGATAGCCTTGTAGCTTTTTCTATTTGCTCTTCTGGCAATAATCATTCACTTATTAAAAAATAAAATTCTTTAACATTTGGTCAAACTTAGCACTGGACAAATCACATCAAATGTGCTTCAGCTGAAATTCACTTTTGTGTTTAAGAGTTAGTTGCTGACTTTGGTAGCCTGAATTCCAATTGTATTTTCAAACCATCTTCTCCAAAATTGCTTTTAAAAACAGAGTTGTCAGCCGCATTGAAGTATAACCAACCTATTTAAAACTAGCCTTTTTGAAAAAGAACTTTGCTCAGCTCAGTAATTTTCAACTCTGGCTGTGCATTAAAATCACCTGGTTAGCTTTCTAGACTGATTCCTGGTCAGACCCTAGCCCTAGGAAGTCTGATTTAATTGTTCTAGGCAAGTTCTTAAAGCTCTCCAGGTGATTCTAATGTGTAACCAGGATTGAAAACCCCTAGCTTTGCTCACATCACTTTATTTTCTGCATCTTTAATAATAAAATTAGGAAAATCTTCAGGATAATTACAGAAATGTTATATTCTGAGAAAAGAGTTAATACAGGTTGCTGATAAAAGAATAATTGATCTCTTATAGTTAGTTCACAGTGGAAAAATATTTAAAAAGCACTTTACATACTACCTTGTAAACATTTCTGTATTCCACAGGCTTGTTTCTGGCACGGATCCTTCTGTGGCATATCCAGAAAACTAAAACAAGAAAAATTATTTTTATTTTGCTTTTTTCCCACAAGGACTTTAAAACCCTTCTACATGGAATTTTCTTCTGAGACAAATAGTATGCCCATATAATTGCTGGAAAATTACGCTAAAAAATACTCTTCCCATTTATAGGATGAATCAACCGTATTTTTATAATATCCATTTCATTTGGAAGATATGAATAGCTTTACATGGAAAAACTCTGAATTCAATCAACTAGTCTTGAATATTGTAAACCAATATTAGACTAGAGGAGCCTACACCACAGCCCGGCTCTATCATTCACAGAATAAACCCTTGGTAAATGATTAAACTCCTTGAGCCTTTTTCTTTATTACTCGTGTATGAAATGGGAATACCTGCCTCAAAGCATTGACAAAAGGATTAAATGTGATAAAGTGTATAAAGTGCACACAATGGTGCCTGGGAGGCCGTAAGGACTCAATACATGGTAGCTATTATTCAAGACTTTTTAAAAAAGTAAAACCTTACTTTTAATGTATGTAAACTGTTATGACTACTTTAACTCAGGAAATTATATACAAGTAGTAAATGCTTCCCTAGGAATCAGCAATATCTGATGGTATTACTTCCTGAAAAAGGTGCCAGTTAAGCACTAAATCTTTTTTTAAAGTTCTTACAGAAGCCAGCTTATTTAAAATATCTGTAACCAGAGAATGAATTTAGGTGCCTACAATTTTGATCAACTTCTAATAATCTGAAGACAATTTCAGAAAGAAAAAAGGCCCAGGAGCCTCTGTAGCTAATTTCATCAATGCAAATCTCTTTTTTTTCAGAGCCTCCTAAGTTCTCAGTAGATCCAAATTAGGTCAGTACTGGGATGGGAAACACTGGAGCAAAACCTAGGATATTTACAGGATGGAAGAACGAAAGGCAGGTGAATTGCTGCAGGGCAAATAAGCGACAGATGTTGATGCTGCTAGGAGCTGCTCTCTTCTCTCTAAATCAGTACCAAGTCCTTGGTGATCAAGGCATCTGTTCTGTAGCAGGTGCTGACTTTTGTGGGATTCATCAGATCCCAGTTCCAGCCGATGATGTCCATTAAAGGTTCTATGGCAATTTCCAAAGGAGTCAATTTCAAGTTATGTATCCTGACTAAGTACTTTTGTTGACTCACTTTCTGCCTGCTTTCTCCCTCTCTCTGCAGTTTCACTTGTAGTATTCTTCATGACCCTTCCTAAACTTCTGTGTTCTTGAGCAGTTTTTCAACCCACTCCCTCCCCCCAGGCCCAAGGGTGGGTGCACTGCAGTAGTGGATGAAGTGATTGCCATATACTGAACAGAACAAAGAAGCATATCTTCCTAGAATCCCAGCACCTGGAAAAAAAAAATCATTAAAATCACCACAAATGAATAGAGTGAAAACGAAGCAGGGAGGGATGGGGGAGAAACAGAAATACATACCAGGTTAATCATCAGGCAAAAGCTTAAGCAACAGCTCCTGTACTCCCCTGACCTGTCAGAAAAAGAAAAATTTATAGAGTACTCTGTTATAAGAGTCCCAATACAATGGAAAATGATTAAGCAACATGTGTACCATTAAATGATGCTGTATCTGCCACAAGCGAGAGTTGTTATCCATGTAGCGCTCCTCCGGGTAGAGTTGCCACATGAGAGGTAGCTGGGAGGTAAGAAGGTGACTTGGCCTAGCTGCGTCACCTAGGGGAACCTGAATTTGCTGGACTCGTGCCCTTAGGAAACTTGTCTCCTAATGGAATGATCAAAAATAAAACCAAAGATTTCAGAATATTGAGACTGGATAGAAACAAGTTGCTTGAAAGCAAAATCAAAGAAATAAGCAAAGTGTAAAGTTACCTCTTCCACGACGGCCACCCACGTGCGCTGGTATTCGTCGCGGTAGATACCCTCTTGGTGAACCCAGAGGTGATCGGGTGGAGCCCCCACATCCTCTCCTGCCATTCTGGGCTTTGGGTTCCAATTCTAGCCCTGCTTTTCTCCACCTAAGCCTGCAGCACCCGCGCACAGGACACAGGTGTGACTTTTTGGGTTTGAATGAACTCATCAGTGAGCAAGGTGACCTGGTACTAGCAGCCACCAACCAGAACCAAACTTCATATATGTCTATTTGCACAGCCTAAATAGAACCAAAGACACCTGAAGCTTTCTGCAAGACAACTGAAGTGATACACAGAGCCTCAGGTTGCTAACTTTTGGCTGCAAAGCACTCAAGAATTTGGCTAGGTGAGGAGGTCTGTGGAAATATAGAGCTAACACTATAGGAAGCTGGACAGTGGTCTCACATTCTTTTTATTCACAAAGCAGTGTCTGACAAAATGTAGGTAGCAATAGAATATGTACAGAGTGTGCCTAAGGACGCACTCATTTTGGCAGAAAGGCAGAATAACAGATAAGTGCATGCCATATTTCCCAGGTAAATGCCACTCTCAAGCAGTTTTCATTTTAAAAGGTAAAATTCTGAAAGACAAATCATATGCATGGCTTTCTAAGTTGAAATGAAAAGTTTGTTTTGAGGGCAAAGACCTATTCGTCAGTTTACTATGAAAGGTTATGTATAGCAGCTGGGCATTTCCAGAAGGGGATTTTCATGTTAGGAAAAGTATTTAAGGTAGCTTCATGGAATTTCTGAGATGCAAGAAACTTTGGGAATCATGGTGATGTGAAAGCAAATGACAATTATCTATCCAGGTCCTTGTTTCATTTTAATAATGCTGCAGGATGTTACAGGAGCCCATTTTTCCATAGAGGCAGAGGTTTAAATTTTGATTTCCCAAGACAGAAGACCAGAAAACCCCCTGTGCCCATTGAGAGGAGTAAAGGAAATGTACCTCCTGGAGCATCTGGGTGGTAAAGCAAACTCTCCCCACAATGATCCTCTGCTCAGTCCCAGATTTCATTTCAGGACCTCACAATAACTTGACATGCATTTTGCATGAATTAATCTTGCAGCCCTCACTTACAGCATCACGGCACACTTGTACCATATTTCTACCTTTGGCAGAGCACAGATATGGCTTTGGAGGATCTGTCCCCCAAAACAAAGACCTCCTATTCCCATTAGGTGGCCATTAGGTGGGAAAGGAAATGCAGTGTGAGAGGTTGTTAGAGCCCTCACAGTGAGACTGTCAAGAGCAAACCAGATGCTTCACACATTGTACCTTGAGTGGATCTGACTTTGAGCCTACTATAAGCTCCCATCTTAGTTTTCATATGGATCTGCTCTCTCATTTCAAACTCATCTAAGATGGAACCCTTTCTCCTTAATCAAATCCCAGTTTCTGTGAATGGCAATGCCACCACTCCTGATCCTGCAGACTCAAAACTTAATGAGTTATCTTGGATTTCTTCCTCTTCTTCAGTTGCTACATCCTATCTGTCATCAATTCCAGCAGGTACTACCACCACCAATGTATTTAAGACAAACTTTCCCCAAATACTAGGCTCATTTTCTAGCTCCATACCCTTGCTCTTGATTTCCACTTGCCTTAAATGCCTCCTCAGGCCTCTATGCTTATCTCAGTACTATTATAGCAGAGTTCAGGTGCCTACCTCTTCTATGAAAACTTTAGAAAATTCTTGCCTTTTATGACTACTGTAGCATTTATGTTTAAACTAAAGTGCATATTTGGCCTCTAATTATAAATCTCCTTGCATATTTTCTCTGCTTATTTCACAAGTTCTGTCTCCCCCAAGGTATAGTATTGTATGCTGCTTAATAGCAGGAATGATACAGTTCTGGGCACTATGAGTCTCAGATACTAGTCAAATAATGTTTCTATGAACAGATGCATATGCATGGTTGATAGGGAGGTGAAACAAAGGAAGGCCACAGTGGTGGTTATGATTTACCATGTATACACGGGTAGAGATTGATTCTCTAGGCCTAAGTCTCTAGCAATATATTAAATTTTTTAAAGCCTTTTTTTTTTTCACTTAGCAGATACAATTGTTCTGCCTCTTTCCCCACACCCAAGAGCTTTGGAAAAGAGAGATACAAACAAAAATCTAGTAAACACTAATGTCAAGATAAAAGATATTAAAGCCTGGATTTCAAGCACAAAAGACATAAATGTGGCCAATAATTTTTTTTTTAAGTGGAAACCAAGTGTTAAGGCTTTCAGGATCATCTCAACTTCAAAGATAGGTCTTAGCACCAACCAACATGTTGAAATATAAATTTGTTTTGAATGCAAAACAGAATTTTATTGGTTATACTGATATTAAAAGGAAACAATTCCAGTAGAATAGAGAGCAAACTGATTGGAGATGATGGTCTGAGTTACTATGAGTCACTACAAAATATTCTCAGCAGCATCAGCAGGATGAGCCTGGGAATGACCCTCGGCACATTACCCTGGACTTGTGTGTGCCACCATTCAGAGAGCACGAAGGCCTAGAGGAAGGCAACTGCAGTGATCAAGGGACAGAGAAGCCACCGTATGAACACAAACCAACAACATTCTCAGTAGAGAAAAGTAAAGGCTGAGTGAGAGAAATTCAGATTAAAGCCTATAAAATCACAGGTTGTATGAATGGAAAAATTTGATTCTTAGAACCCTTGCTCCCTACATTTTCCTTGGTCAAATAAGTTTGGGAATCTTGGAGAGTCATAAGCACATTAGCATAGTAAAAGCTCTGGCAATTTATGCAGGAAAGAAACTTTATGTTGTTTAATATTTCCCAAATTTATTTGACTAGAAAACATTTTTTGACACATGACACTTGTTCACAAAATTCAGGACTCCTTGAACTAAGATGAATATGTTAAAACCTCAAGATATACTTAAGTACAAGGTGCAATACGATACATGGAATACAAACTTGTGCAACTCAATTTAAGGAATACTACCAGCTGCAAATACAAATGTTTTAAAAAAATGTTTAGATAACTTTATAACTTTATCGTGCACTAAAAGAGATTGTCTCCATGGGGGTGACCTTGATGCCATGCCCTGAGACCACACTGGCCTAGACAGACAATTTTTTAGTAAGACATTTTGTAAATTAGGTTCTAAGTAGATAACAAATAACACAGAAGGGCTTCCTTAAGTAGTAATTTAAGTAAAACCATTTTTTCTTTACAGAATAGATTCTTTTGTTTTTTTAAAAACATGGTTGGTTTTAATTTGCAGGTGTTTGAACAGTTTTTAAACATTGATCAGTTGAATACATTTATTTTATTTGAAGTCAATTAATAAACTCATTCAGTCTCAATGGGTGATATTACCAAGAATACAGGCTGTGGAATCAACCTGGCCTGTGTATGAATCCTGATTCTGCCGTTTACTAGCTTTGTGACTTTGGACAAGTTAACCTCTCTCCACCTCAATTTCTGGAGGTGTAAAATGAGAATTAAAGAACATATTAATCATAATAGCTTTTACATAGCACTTCCTATATGTTTTACATCTGTTTACATATATTGACTCATGTAATCTTTGCAATCTTCATAGGGTGCTATGTGGTGGACGGTATTATTATCCCCACTTTAAGGTGAGGAAAGTAAGCCACAGAGAAGTTAGGTAACTTGCCCAAGTTCACACAGCTAGGAAGTTGCAGAGCCTGATTCCAATGGGGGCAGTTTATATACACCAGGTATATAAATGCTTAGTAGAATTATTTAGCACATAATAAACTTGCTATAAATGCTAATAGTTTTTTTCTACGCCAATGAAATGTTTGGACCTGTAGAAGGCAGCCATGAGCATTAGAAAAGTTAGTGAATGTCATTCTGGAATATGAGATTGACTAACAACAACATAAAACAAAAGGCACTTTTTAAACTCAAACTATCCCATCACCAAATATAATAATGAGAAGACCAGCTGTTCCTGCCCCAGTAGGGCAGGGCATACTAGCCACAAACAGTAACTGAAAATAGTATATGATATAAAATTGTAACGAGAAAATTTAGACGAGTCCCATGTAATTGCACACTTAAAAATTTTCCAACCTTCATCATTATCAAAATTAATCATGGAAAGATGTGCCTTGTGATCCTTAAGCATCAGGTAAAAACGGAGGTTGCTGGCATATATATTAAAGATAGTTCCACTGGATGGGGACTCTATTTGTGGGGAGACTTGGGTTGGAACTGACTTGGGAGAAAAGAGCAAAGCATCAACACCTCTTTAAGTAGCACTTTGAGAATGTTCCCTTTCCAGTACTGCCATACCTGCCTGGCTTCAAAACTACACAGAGAATAGAAAAATAAATCAAAGAAACAAACACGGACGGGCTGTGGAGGCGGCACAGCACATATATTTTTTTTGGCTTAGAATCGCTTCTAAAATCCACGTGTAATTCCTAAACTTGTGAGTTGGAAGATCTGTACTTTTACCTTTGGCGCGTTTGATATACCTCAAAACAAAATTACTTTTACATATAATTAATCCATGTCTGATATTATCAAGACAAGGAGATCTGCGGAAACTGGTATTCTGGATATCTAATGGGATATGTACGAAGTTGAATAAAAACTGACGTCCCTCAGTTCCCCTTTACTGTATCAAACAAATAGCTACCTAAAAGCCTTTGTAGAAAGTAGCAGCAGCCAAGCTTAAGAGTGATACTTTTTCAGATACAGTATAGCACTGTTTCTGCAAAAGGTTACTCACATGAATATAATGTTTCTTGGGCTAATTAATCCGCCTCGAGAACAGCTAGGCTAAAACTTCCAGGTCCCCCACCCCGGGCCTCTCAAGCCGGGATCGCGACGTGAGCCCGGGGCGAACCGAGGGGCATCCCAAGCCGAGGTCACTGGAACTGAAGTTATGAGGCGAGGGCCGGCAACCGGAAGCGGTCCAGGGAGAGTTGTACAAGATTCAGGGGCTGTGACTTGGAAATAAAGCGAAATAAAACCTTAACTGTTTTAGGACTGACTTTCAAAAGAGCGTCCCTCTGACTCAAGAGACCGGCGCTGGCGGTGATGTCGCCTCAAAGGGCTGTCCCCTAAGCGTGTAGGCCGCGCACGGCTCTCTTCAACGGGCGGGCAAAATGGGCGCCGGAGCTTGGGAGGTGCCTACCCAGGCGCCCGGGCGCGGCTCACAGACCACGTCCGCCTGCAGAGCGCCGCCTCCCTGCAGCCCCCGCCGCCCGGCCTGACACCCCAACAGTGGCCGGCCACCTCCCTTCGCCCCGACTGCCACGCCCGCCCCAACCGGCGCGGGCGTTTCCCAGGTGCTGCTGGGCGGGCCCCGCCCCCGCGCGCCTGCCTAGCGCTCCGACTGCCCCCGCCCCGCCCCCACGGTCCCGCCTGCTCCTAAAGCCCCGCCCCCGCAGAACCCGCGCGCGGAAGGCCAGGCCTGGGCAGGGCGCTGGGGAGGCTGCGCCTGAGCACCCGGTTGGTCAGGCCAGAGTGGGCCCGAGGCGGACGGGAGCAGGGTCGGACCAAGATGGCGGTGCAGGTGGTGCAGGCGGTGCAGGCGGTTCATCTCGAGTCCGACGCTTTCCTAGTTTGTCTCAACCACGCTCTGAGCACAGAGAAGGAGGAGGTGATGGGGCTGTGTATAGGGGAGGTGAGTAGGTCAGTCAGCCTGGCTGGAATCTTGCTGAGCAGTCCCAGCATGTCCCGGGGATGAGTGCCAGCAGCACCCAGGGCTGTGGAGGCCACAGGCATCCCTGACTTAGATCCATGGACATCCTTAGATGGCTCTGTTGCGGGGACACCCATTTCTTCCGGTTGCAGAACTCTTGTTTAGTCTCCCGCAAGCCCCCAGTGATACTCAGATGCCCCAGGGAGCCGTGCTTTTTCTCCTGTAGCCTGCGGCTTTTATTTAGTTCTGGGGTTATCACCCCGTTGACCCAAACTGCAAGCCAGGCCAGAAAGACATTCGAGTATAACGAGAACATCAGCGTATTAGGAAGCAGCAGACTACAGTTAGAGCCCCTTGCCTCGCATCCAGCCTTCCCTCTAGGGGAGCAGAGGTATCAACAAAGCATTTGAAGCATATCAAAAAATCCTAAGAAAGGAGAGAGGTTTCAAGGACGCAAAAGTTTCCGCTGCGTTAAGTGTTGCAGAGGGGCGAATGAGGATGGGGAAGTAAGAATTTACCTGTTTACAATCTAAAGTAATTCTCCATTCTTTCATGCCGGTATGCACGAACACGTGACCTAATTTTAACATAATCTGCATCCATGTACATCAAACAAATATAATGTGATCAATAATGTTTTCTGCTCTTTCCCACTCTAGTTGAATGATGACACAAGGTAAGCCTATATTCGTTTACTCATATCTAATGATCATTGTTAACTCAGAATTATGTATGTGAGAAATATAGTTGGGGGAACCAAGATCATGCATGAACCTGTGAAAGCTGTTATAAGTAGAATTTTGTCGACTAAAATAAAGGCAGCACATTAAAAAGACTATCAATGTATTTTCCATTTCCTTGCTTGATATATTTTATATTCCCTCTCCCTTGAAATGTCAGTGAGATACTGGCAATTCTCTTTGTGACAGGGAAAGTACACATTCAGAGCCATTTCCCATTGTTGATCCATACCTCCATCTGAATTGTCAGTGACTTTCTGCCACCAACCTCTACTCCCACCACGTGCCCTATCTCAGAGTTCCCCACTGGCTTGAATGCTTGAGGTGCTGAAACTTTCGGGTAATTTAAACTTCAAAGCATACCATAGTTTACTTCTCAAACCCACCTTCTTAATACCCAGGATTCCAGGAATTTAACTTTTTGCTTGTGATAACTTCATATACTCAGCCACTTATGCACATGTCCCAGATTGCTTCTAACAGATGTATGAGTGCAGCTCTATCTTCGGTTTACTTTTCCTCCTCTTTTTTCTCTGCTATGGTTTCATTGCAAAAACTGTTAATCCTCTTATTTTGCTTTAATTCCTTTTTATATTCCAAACCCCAGTTCCCTTTTTTTCTAATTTATACCTAATAGGAGTGACTCCAAATTTGCATGTGCTGGAACTGAAATGCGCACAGTTGCTGAAAAGGTACGTATGCTAGAATTTTGCATGATGGAAACTTGCCATTGGGGAAAGATTTCTGTACTCTGATGATCTCAGCTGGAGTATTATTCCAGTTTGTGTAAAATACAATAAAAATGAATGACTTCCTCCCCTCTCACCAAGCTATCAGGCAACAACTTCATATACAACTGCTATATGCAAACTTCTCCACCTTAACCACTTTGCTTCCTTTCTTTCCATATCAAGGAAAGAAGTCCTCTTCCTATCCTACTATCTCTTCTGGGTCTTTTTACTGTTACCTTGTTCTTTTCTTTTAGGATACAAATATGCTTAAATTACTCTCATTTTCAGAAAGGAAAGAAAAACTACTTCTCAAACCTATATCTTCCTGCAGTCACTGCTCTTATATTCTTCCTTGAATAGCCAGACTTCTTAAAAGAATGGGCTACAATTGTTACTTCTTCACCTTCCCCAGTGAAATCCACTGAGGTCTGGTTTTCAATTCTACCTCTCCAGCCATTTCATTGCTACATCCAGTGGGTAATTTCTTGGTGCTTATCTTAAACTTTCTTCTTGAATCTCTGTACTCTTATGGGTTGTTGTTTGTTTGGCTGTATTTCCTTTCTTCCTTCCCCCCGTCCGCCTTTTTGGGCATTTCTCCCTCTGTCTATGCATTAAATGTTGGTCATTCTTCATTCACTCTGGGCATCAACTACTAAAATATATACCAAATCTTAATGATATAATTTTATTTTTCAAGGATTCATGCTCTCATCTTGAATTTTATGTCAATTTGTACTGTCAAAATTGATATTAACTTCGTGAGTTTAGCGGCCTTATCTTTTTAGTTAGTGTTGCCATGGTATATATTTTTTTATCTTTTTTATTTTTTAGACTTACTGTGTACTATTTAAAATATGTCTCTTATTAGCATATAGTTTTTTAAAAATACAGTCTGATAATCTTTAATTGGAGTATTTAGTCAAATACCATTTAATGTAATGATTGATATTTATAGGTTATAGCTGCCATCTTTTTGCTTTATATTTGACCTACTTATTTGTTTTATGTCACTTTTTCTCTCCTTTCTTTTTAAGGTTAATCAAATATGTTTTATTATTCTACTTGGACCCTCCACTAATTAGTTATAACATTATTTTACTTTCGTTTTAGTGCTTATCCTACATATTATAATATGCATTCTTGATTTGTTACAGTCTAATACAAATGACTGTGTTTTTTTTTTTTTTCCATTTCTCCAATAATACTAGAACATTAGAACACTAATTTCATTTACACCTTCCAACCTTTTGGATTATTTTTGTAATGCATTTTAAGTCTATGGATATTTTAAGCCCCATATGACATTGTTATTACTGTCTTGTACAGTTAATATTCATTTGTATTTACCCACATATTTACCATTTATGGTGCTTGTCATTCCTTCCCTCATTTCTGGGATTTTCCTTCTTCCTAAAGAACTCTTTCTAGTATATTTGTACTGGTAATGAATTCTCTCCATTTCTGTACATCAGAAAATGTCTTTATTTTGCCTTCATTTTTGAAGGATATATTCTTTGAATATAGGATTCGCAATTGGCAGGTATCTTCTTTTAGCAGTCCAAGATGTCATCCCATTTTCTTTGGGCTTTCATTGTTTCTGTTGAAAAATCAGCTATGGCCGGGCGCAGTGGCTCACGCCTGTAATCCTAGCTCTCTGGGAGGCCGAGGCAGGCGGATCGTTTGAGCTCAGGAGTTTGAAACCAGCCTGAGCAAGAGCGAGACCCCGTCTCTACTAAAAATAGAAAGAAATTAATCGGACAACTAAAAATATATAGAAAAAATTAGCCAGGCATGGTGGCGCATGCCTGTAGTCCCAGCTACTCGGGAGGCTGAGGCAGTAGGATCACTGGAGCCCAGGAGTTTGAGGTTGCTGTGAGCTAGGCTGACCCCACGGCACTCACTCTGCCCGGGCAAAAGAGTGAGACTCTGTCTCAAAAAAAAAAAAAAAAAGAAAAGTCAGCTATTTGTCTTGTTGCTCCTTGGAAAATCATGCATCTTTCTATCTCTGCTTTTAATTCTATTTATTTCATACTCTGTGCCTGTCAGATACTCTACTGTTTGCTGGGGATAAAAACACAAATAAGCATGGCCCCTGCCCTTAAGGAGCTTACATTCTAGTTGGGGAGAAAATTATGTAAATAAATAGAACACAATATGATATATGTTCTAGCAGAAATAAGTGTGTGTGCATTATAAAATAAGTCATATGGAGGGGAGAATGGTTAATTCTTTATAGTATGATCAGGGAATTTAAAGGATATGAAAGTTCACTAGGTAAAAAAAAAAAAAAGGCTGGGAAGCAAGGCACAGAGGCATGAAAAAAGACCACATGGTATATAGGGAACTACAAGGAGTTGAATAATGCCAGAACATAAAGTCTTTTGAGATGTTATGCAGAGCTACTCATACTTGCTTTTCAACAGTTTATCATTTGGGCAGCTTTGTATTTATGAAAGTAAACGCAAATATAAGAATAATCAGCATTTGGTGTGCAAAGTCTGCCTTTTTTTTGAAAACCATTTCTACCATTTGGTTTAAGTCTCCACAAGAGAAACTGAAGAGCTAAATTGGTTAGACAGCTTTCTTGTTTCAAAAAATTAAAATGGCAAGCAGAATATAAAGAATAAATAAAATCTTTGCTTGTCTATCCATTAGAAATATAGTATGAGCCACAAATGTCAGCCACATACATGATTTTAACTTTTCTAGTAACCTAAGTAAAAAGGTAAAAAGAAATAGGCAAAATTAATTTTAAGAGTATATTTTATTTAACCCAAATATCTGAAGGATTTTTATTTCAAGATGTAGTCAATATTAAGAAATTTTGAGATATTTTACATTCTTTTCTTCTTTTTTAAGTAAGTCTTTGAATTCCAATGTGTATTTCATACTTTCTGTACTTCTGAAGTTAGACTTATCACATTTCCAGGGCTCAGTAGCCACATGTGCCTAATGGCTCCTGTGTTGCACAGTATAGGTCTGTAGTTTACTTCAAAAGCCTCCTCTCAGATTTCACCCATGTCCCTTCAACTTCTGACAATGCTAAGCCCATCCATTCACCTGAAAGTCTTGTACCATTTCACTGTTCTAGTTTTGTCTCCTCTATTTTCCTCCCTGGCTCCTCTTGTTCTACCCCATCCTAATGTGGGCACCCCCCCTTGATTCAGGCCCAGACCTCTGCTCCCTCTCTACATACCTTTTTTGTCTACTCATAAAGCTTTATTGATTTCCCCCATTGATTCTATTTGAGCATAAGCTGTAATCCCACCTACCTGCTAGAAATTGCCATATTGTACATCTTTTTATCCCAGATCAGCTCATCTGAAAGCGGGCTCATCTTCATTTCTTCCTGACCCTTTCTAAACTTAGATCTGCCTCCCATATTCCACCTAGTTTCAACCTTGAAACTTCAGTCATCTTTGCCAATTTCCTGTCCTCCATCACCCATGGTCCACAAGCTACCAAATTGTGTAGATTCTTCCTTCTTAGTGGGTCTCAAATCTATTTCTTCCATCTCTGCCATCTACTTAGTCTATTAATAGTACTTTATCACCACTTCATGTACAGTTTATCTGAAATAATTTCTTTATAGTTCATCCTGTAAATCATGGCTTGGCATTTGAAGCCTTGTACATTCTCACCCCAACTTTCTTTCTTAGCCTTGTCAGCTGCCATTTCACCTTAAGCTCTGTATCTAAATCAGTTGGCCAGCTTATCTCCCACACATTTCACTCACACTTCACTACTTCCATAGCTCGTACACCCATTTGGCACCTGTAGAAAGTCTGTTCCCCTTTGCCCCCACACGCAGATAGTAACCAAAGAAAAGGCACTTATATGCCTTTTCTGTGAAGATTTTTTTTAAATCTAAGTGAATCCTTTCCTCTGAGCTCCTATAGCATTGATTTACTACATTATTTAGTGTAGTTTACTCGTGTATGATACTTGCTGCTCAACCATATCATTAGCACTTTGAACACTTTGATTTATGTTCCTTTGTGTGACACAGTGTCTTCTTGCACATAGTTGTGAATCAAATAATTAGTTGATCATTCAAAAATGATCGATTGAACGATCTAAATGAACGATTTAGATCATTCCTTGATCTAAATATTAGCTTTTATATTTTTGTTTCTGAAATGTATATATTGAGGTTCAATGTTTTTTATTTGACACATTTCATTGTTTATGAGAAAAGAGTCATTTTTCTAAAATTGAATCTTTGATATTATAATAAAATGCAATTCTATAATTGAAGGGAGATGTGTTTTTGGAAAGAGACATAAGTAACCATTTCTGTGGATTTTCCTTTAGGTTGACACCGTCAGAATTGTTCACATTCATTCTGTCATCATTTTGCGACGTTCTGATAAGAGGAAGGACCGAGTAGAAATTTCTCCAGAGCAGCTGTCTGCAGCCTCAACAGAGGCAGAAATATCCTTATCAGTCAATAAGAAGCTTTTATGTGCTCTGGGGCTCCTGGGCCCCATTGGTTTGTTTGCTGCAGTCATCTTGCTTTAGATGGTTTCACAAATTTTCTTCCTTGTGACTGTTCCCAGTTTTCATATTTATCCCTTTGATCCAATTGTTTGGTTAATCAGAATTTCTCTTTATTTTTTCTTTTAAGTGGCTTTTATTGGAAGAATTAGAAATTTCAGACATTACTATTCCTAAATGCCAAAAGATCCCAGGGTCAAATACCCAATTCTTCCAATAAAAAGCTCTAGCTACTCCCCACTCTTCTCTTCTTCCTCTCTGCCCCTCCTTCCAGTTTGCCTTGCGTCATTTAATTTCTAGGCCTTTTACTATCCTGGTATTTATCCTTTGGAGAGATTCTCTTTTGAGACTTACTCTCAAAAAATGCAGTGCTGAGAACTAAATGCAATATTCCATATTAAATACAACCAAAGAATGTTCAAATGGGGCATTTGCTTCCTATGATCTGGACTCCGTACCTCAGCTATAGCAAGTTAAATTTGCATCACTGGTTTTAGTAATTTGTCATTCTTTTGGATTAAATTAATCTTGCAGTCAACTAAAAAGTAATTTTTTAAAATAGGAGGTACACATGCATAGTATAAGCTTTAAAGAGTATAAAAAGATATATAAAATGAGTATTTCTCTTCAACCCTGTGCCTCCAGGGTACTTTCCAGATATAACCAGGGATATCAGTTTTTCATGTATCCTTACAGATGAATTCTGTGTATACAGAAATACATATGAATATTTTCTTTTTCAAAAGTATTTAGTACATATGATAGCTCATGACATACAGTATTCTTTTTTTCACATAACAGTGTATCTTGAAAATTTCACCTGTCCTCATGCAGATGTTAAAGTTGTTTGTAATCTTTTAGTCTTAGTGCTGCAGTGAATAACCCTGTACATATTGCATCTCATAATGTGTGTGTGTATCTGTAGAATCAATTCCTAGAGGTGAAATTGCTGGGGCAAAAGTTGTATGTACTTGTGGTTATAGATGTTTTACCAGTTTACCCTCTAGCAATGTACAAAAGTTCCTATTTCCCGACGCCCTCAAAAACATGTGCTATCACAGTTTTTGATTGTTGCCAATCTGATCAGCTAAAAATTATATGTTATTTCTTGCAATTTTAATTTGCATTTTTCTTATTATGAGTAAGCTTGATCAGCTTTTCATTTTTATGAGTCATTTGTGTTTTCCTCTGAATTATCTGATTACTTCCTTTGCCCCTTTTTCTATTGATTTGATAATCTTTTCCTTAATAACTTATAGGCACTCTATGTGTTAAGAAAATTAGCCTTTAGTGGTAAGGATAGTGAGTTTTCCCAGTTTATTCATGGTGTGTGTGTGTGTTTCCCAATCAAGTTGTTGCTTTCATATTTTTATGGGTCTCTTACAGTGTATACCTTTTCTATCTTGTTTTTTAGTTCTTTATTTTGAAATAATTATAGATTCATGGGAAGCTACAAAAATAGTACAGAAAGGTCTCTGTACCTTTCACCCAATTTTCCTTAAAGGTTACATCTTACATAATAATAGTATAATATGAAAATCAGGAAATTGACATTGATGCAATATGTGTAGTTCTATGCTATTTTGTCACATGGGTAGATACATGTAAGCACTACAGCAGTTAAGATACAGAACCGTTCCATCATTATAAAGATCTCTCTCTTGCTACCTTTTTATAGTCACACCTTCCCTAAACCCAGGCAACCACTAATCTGTTCTCCATCTCTATAATTTTGCCATTTCAAGAATGCTATATTAGTACAATTGGAATCATACAGTATGTGACCTTTTGAGACTGTCTTTTTTTACTTTGCTCCCCAACCCAAATCCCTGGCAACCACTAGTCTTTTCTCCATCTTCTCATTAAGGGTTGTGTTTTCCTTCTTTGCTCTGGTAGGTAGTCTTTGATTGGATATCAGATTTTGTACCTTCTCCCTTGATTGCTGTATATTTCTCTTTTCCTAGACATGTCCATCAGCTGTGTTTTGGGATGCTGTAAAGTTACTGGGAAACAGTTTGATCCTTTTGAGTCTTGCTTTGAAGGTGTGCTGTGTGAGACCAGGGTAGCTCTTAGTGTAGGATTAATTTTCCCACGCTACTGAGGCAAGACCCTTTTGAGCGTCCTGGCTGAGGCCTCCCGAATGAATGATGAGGTACTACATCCTGGCAGGTAGGGACAGCTGTCTAGTCCCTATTATGCTTGAGTGCTGGGTAGAGTTACCTTTCATTTTCTCAGGGGGTTGAGGGATCTTTCCCTGGCCTCGGATAGTTCCTTCACAGGTTGTACTCATCAGTGATCTGCTAAACAGCTTGCATGGATTACCTCATTTACTCTTCACTGCTCTGGAAAGCATTATTCCCCAGTCTGAAGCTGAAGAAATGGGCTAAGAGAAATTAAGTAACTTCTCTTGGCATTTGAAAATTTAAAAGTATATTTTAAAAGTATTGTTTTTCAGACTTAGTTGTATAAAAAGGATTATTATGATTTAATGTAAATAATTTGCAGGAAAACTAATTAGCATTTTACAGGATAGCAGCAGCAGTCTCAGAAGTGACAGCTTCTGAAGATTTAGATAAACTTCTTTTCAGATAGCACGTTGGTGAGGATTTGAGAGATTAAACATTAGCTAAATTCTATTAAGAGAATGTAACTATACAGTAATGGAAACCATATGGATTCTATTAAAAAAAAACAAAACCCTAGGCTTTAAATGGGCAGTATGGGAAATTCTGAGCATCCACTTTATGTCATTGTCATTAAATTGTAATAAGTTGAGTTTAAACTTCAGGATGCTTTATGACCCCTTATTAGCACAAGAAATTTTGTGTTAAAAATACCTTGACAGGCACACAGGTTGGCTGAACTAACAGGTCGCCCCATGAGAGTCGTGGGCTGGTATCATTCCCATCCTCATATAACTGTTTGGCCTTCACATGTTGGTAAGTATTATGGGATTAAATGTTTATTGTTTTCAGAAATTAATATCATTTTATCTTCTCCATTACATAGACCATGGTTATTTTAAACAAAAATTTGAGTATTCTTAAACAAATGTCATTATTTTGATTTATGTTGCCATGTTTTAAAAGTAATGATTTGTGTCATAGTGATTATTTTTAATAATATAAAATTTCAGCACCCCATTTTGATCTGTATTCAGGAAATCAGGATTAACTAAAGCCTGACAATCAGCTGACATCAAAAAAAAAAAAAGAAACTAACTGAATATTGCTGATTACTGAATACCACTACTGTCCAGTATACTCCATTCTGAAGACTGAAAGTTGTTAAGCGTGAAATTTACAAAATTGGTTTTTACAATCTCTGTTTACACATAGTCCATCTTAGCCATTGGGAATCTACCTCCTTACCTCGCTAATCAGTATAATGTAACTAAATTGCTTTCTTTCTGTCATTACCCCGTTTTGGAATCATGATCGTTTTTGGTCTCTACCTGCCTCTCTAGAAAGAAGTAGAATATCTTTATTTGGGAAGAGTGAATTAATATTGATGAATACTTAACTATGTGCTAATGGTTTACAAATGTTTTCTCCTCTAATCCTCATGGTAACCTGTGAATTAGAGATCTCCTCCCCCACCATTATATAGTGGAGTAAACAGAGGCTCAGGTGGGTTAAATAAGTGGCAGAGCTGAGGTTAGAACCCAGGTCTGACTCCCAAGTCTGTGCTCTTTCCACTGTGATGTGCTATTTCTAGTCATATGGGCTTGAGTTGATAACAAATTCTCTATTCATCTACACTGATATGAATGACAAAAAGTCATCAGCAGTCTCAGACTTTAATCAAAGACGAGTGGTAGAGTAGTAGTTCTCAGTTGTGGGGACTGGGGTGCTTCTCAGAATCACCTGGGAAAGCTTTTACGAAATGTACCTGCCCCAAATTAATCTTTCCCACATCCCAACCCAGACCTACTCTAACAACCTCTAGAGGAGAGTGGGTCCTAGGCAGGATACTGTTGAACAGCCCCAGTTAAATACTGATTTAGAACAAGGGAGGTGATAGACTTACCTTCTCCCAGATTCACCAAATGCTAACATTTTGTAACATTTCCTATATCATTCTCTTTCTACATATATGTGCATATATGTATGTGTCTGATTATAATTTTTTCCGGAAGTATTGGAGATTAAGTTGCAGACATGGTACACTTTACCCCTAAATACTCTTCAGCATGAATTTCCTAAACACAAAGTAATTCTCTTATATAACCACAGTACATTTATCAAAACTGGGAAATTAACATTAATATAATACTATTATTTAAATTATAGACCTTATTCAAGTTCTTTATTTGGCTCACTAATGTCCCAATAAAGGTTGTTTTAATAGCTATAAATGTATTCCTGTAAAATCTTAATATCACTGAATAAAGTCAGTGTTTGATTTGTTTTCCTGTCATCATCAACACTAAAATCAGATTGGCTTCAAATTTCTCCTATGGTAGTACCATCAGCCAGAAAGAACTAAGGAACAGCCACTAATGAAGGAAAGTTTGAGCTACACATTCCTGAACAGTTGTCATTAACACATTAACTGCCATGTGAGTTGTATTTAACTCATGCTAGTTTTGAGCCTGGGGCCTCGTGAAGCAAAACCTGGGCAAAACCCTGCAGTTGGTTTGTGAAAATCTTAATTTGTTGATGTTCTTATTGTTACAATTAATATTGACAGATTAATTCTAAAATCATGAATTAAGTGAATAGAAGTCAATAAATTTCGTTTTTCATTAAATTAAAGAGATCGTTTTGTTTTTGAAGTTTTTATTCTATTTTCATAATAAAACACTGTGGCCCCAAGAAAAAAAATTTTTTTCTAGTGTGGCAGTCAATGTGTTGGTAATACATTAGAATAGGAAAGATAAAATTTTGTGGTAAAAAGAAACTCCCTAAGAACTTAGGAAAAAAACATATCAGTCTTTGAAGTACAGCACCCAAAAAGTTTCAGAATTCAGAAAATAATTGAATTCTCTTAGGGAAGAAGGTCTGAGCCATTAAACAAGAACCTGGGTAGGAATTTGTAATGCAGCAGTAATAGCAGTGGGGCAATTTAAAGCTTTATATAAGACAGGAACGAAGGAGATTGCAGAGTATAACAGAACAAAATTAACTTTAAATTATGAAATGATTAAGGAGCCAAATATAAACAATGCAACACAAAATAGATTTGGAGTCTAAAGCATGGAGGTCCTACCTGGAACAAATATCAGAATATGCAATAAAGGGTGTGCTCAAAGAAAGTTTAGAGAGATATCATCATAGCATGAAGATTGGGAGCACTAGCTTTGGATTCTGTTAGAGACCAGGTCAGGTCTGTGTTAAAATCTTGTTTCAGTCGCTTACTAGTTGAGAAAATCTTTTAACCTGCCTCTCTAGTTCCCTCTTTGTCAGAAAAGGAGACCATATTATCTGTCTCAGAGTTGTTAGGAGCAGCATTTGAAATCATGACATACATGGCACCTTGTCCCGTGCTTACCACAGTAGCTGTTGTTCACCTATAAAACAAACAACAAAGGAAAGAACCAAAACATTTACTTATAAAACTCTCAAGGACACAGAGAGAGTATCTTAAATATCTAAGACCATGTCTTAAACATATTTTTAAAGGATCATTACATAAAATGATTCTTCAGGAAATTTACTGGATACCTGTATGGAATAATACAGTCCTGGCTCCTGTTGTCCTGGACCATAACGATTTTGTGAGGGGAAAAAACAGTTAAAAATACTGAAGGGAAAACAAAAAATAACAATGATAAAGAAGAAATAGGATGTAGTCCACATAGAACATTTGTGCCACTAAATATAAACATGGTAAACACCTATAAAAATAAAAGCCTCAGGATTAGGAAAAAGCACAATAATAAGATGTCATTAAAGATAAGCTACAAACCTAAAGACTTGAACAAAAACTAACAGGTGAGGTTAAGCTATATGGGAGAAATAAAGGTAACAGTTACATCATCAGCAAAAGGATAAATGAGAGAAGATAGGTCATTCTATAGTAAAAGGCACAGTAAATAAGGAAACTATAATGAGGTTAAATTACATTCCTCACCATAGCAATAAAAAATATATAAAGGATAAAGTTTCACATGTAAGGAATGGAATGGAAGCTAGTTGGACTAGAATAGCTTGATAACTCACTTTCAGAATTTATTCATTCCTTCAAAAGAGCATAAAGAGAGTTAGCCTTAGATTGGGGTTTGCAGTGGGGGGTAGGATGGGGAGGGGAGTGAACAAAAGCAAGAGTGAGGTAGACCAAGACTAAGACTTTAAAATGTTGTCTTAAAAGAATTTCAGACTTACAGAAAAATTGCAAGAATAGTCTAAAGAACCAGATTCAACAATTGTTAACCTTTGCCACATTTGCTTTATCATAGTCTTGCTGTACAAAATGTGTGCATATACATGTGCACGCACATAACACTATTTGAGAGTGAGTTGTAGACATGATGCTCCTTTACCATTAAATCCTTCCTTGTATATTTTCAAGATCAAGGATATTCACTTACATGACCAGAGTGCAATTATCAAAATTAGGAAATTAAATATTGATATAATACTATTATGTAAACTATAGAACTTATTGAGATTTTGCCAGTTGTCCCCATACTGTCCTTTATAGTATTTTTCTTTCTAATGCAGGATCCAGTATCAGATCATGCATGGCATTTAGTCTTCCTGTCAGTTTAATCTCCTTTACTCTAGACTAGTTCCTCAGACTTTTTTTGTCTTCCATGACATGGACATTTTTGAAGATTTGGATTTGTCTGTTGTTTGTTTATGACTAGATTCAGGTTTTGCACTTTTGGCAGGAGCACCACTGGGCCCTTCTCATTGTGTCCCATCAGGAGGCACATGGTGACTGTCTCATCACTATGATGTTAACTTTAGTCATAAGTTTTTCTGCTGCACACTAAAATTTTCGTGCATCTGATAAGGCAGAATTCACAAATGTGGGTTAAATGGGAATTGCTGATAAGGAGCCTCTTCTCAAATGTCTTTTCACTGAACAGATACTGAGGACCTGCCACATGCCGGTTTATAGTAATACCTGTGAATCCAATTCTAAAATTGGGAAGTTGTGCATATTCCATGATATCTCTGATCAGTGTGCTCCTACTGTCTGCAAAGGCAAACCTTTTCATTCTCAAACTTCTGATCTCCCCACTGCCTGTTTCACTTTCAGCAGATAACACTGCTTCCTACCCTCATCTAAAAAACAGGAGCCATTACAAAGGAGTTTCATCCATTTCTCTTTATTCACCTACTTGTCACTGTGCCCATCTTATCCTTTTCCCTTTCCTCCTTTATCCTTGCTTCCCATGTTCTCAAGAACCTTACACTGTTTGTTATACTTCTCTTTCCTATACGTCTACATCCTTTTCTGCTGTGCTGGATTCTTCCCATCATTTATTCTTTCTTTCAACAAATAAATTTGAGTGTCTGCTATGTGGCAAGGTGCTAAAGATAAAACAGTGAATAAGAGACAGAAGGTCTCTGCCTTCATGGAGCTTTCAAATAAGCTCATATCTCACATTGAGGAAAACATAAGAAAAACACTTTTCCCAATCCCACTTCTCCTTGAGGTCCATCTTGTCTTCCATTTCACTTTCAAAATCAAAGAGATACATACACTTGCATTTTCTCACCATTCACCTATTCCTCACTCCACTCTAGTCTGGCTTCTAGCCCACCACTTCATTGAAGTGGTTCTTGCTAGAGTCATCAGTGACATCCATGTTAAAAATCTAGTGAACATTTTTAAACCCATCTTATGAAGCATTGACACTGTCAAGCACTCTCTACTTATTGAAATACCTCCCAAGCAATCATGAGGAAGGTGTGGCTCTTAAGGGAAGAAACTAAACTAAGGCTCGGAGTGAAATACCTGGTCCAAAACCAGGTGGCTAGTAAGT